AGAAGGTCTAGTGGTTTCAATAAAAGCTATATTGGGACACAACAGAAACATAAGAAATTCTGGAGGGATCACTTGAATATCAAACCTCAGTATTACAAATCCAATAAAATGAGATGTGTTTAGCAGTGCTGTCGCACTCAGCCCCTACACCTATTATTTTATATGAACCAATGGGTAAGAGGGCAGGTGTTCCTGTCTGCAGCTGACAGAGCACAGAAGATTCATTTAAAAAAAAAGTTCTGCTACCCTCTGGAAGATCTCTCTGTCACGTAAATTAATAATGCCTTTCATGTCTCCCACCACTGCAAGACAAACACTAATAGCACATTAGCTACATCCAGGTAAGCAAGCAACCAGATACACACAAACATGCTGCAGAAATACAGGGAAAATCCAGCCTATATTTTTTAAAACAAAAAGAACTTCAGAGTAACTCCCGCAGCCTTCAGCAAGTCCTGTGTATTTCTTTGCTGCAAATTCTGTTCAGGACTGACACCAGGTGACAAACTGCAACATCTATGGAGACAATTCCTTAAAAGCATCACTGCCTGACAGCCAGGAGTGGGGCAGTGGGATCACAGAGCAGGCAGGCAAGTGCATCTCACAGCCCAGGGACCCCTCTGGAGCCCCTCAGCAGCAGAATGGAAGCCACACATCCAGATCCAGAAGACAGAAGTTCCTTGCCACACTGATTCTTGTGTGCACAAGGAAAGCTTTGAATGTCAGTTTAATAATAAAAGCAAAGTCAGCCTTTACAAGAGGCATTTTAATCTGATAAAGGGCTGTAGCAGACACATTAGACTTCATTAACAGAGGTAGTAATTGTTCCCATTTACATAATTCACACCCGAATAGTTAATGGCAAGTAAGTATGTCTGGATTACACAGTAGGACAGACTGCAGAGTAGATAGAACAGAGGGGAGGGCAGGTAGAAAAGATGGCATTCCAAACAAAGAAAAGCTTACATTCCAGTAAAATCCTGCCAGGAATCCAAACAGTGGGTATAATGAGAGAACTGACATGATTCACAACAACTTAAGAGGTGTACTAACCATGAGAAAAAATGAATTCCTGTTACTTCCCAGCCCACCCCACAGCTACAAAACCTATGGCTGCTACACTACTTTTTATATAAAGTGTGAAGCCTCTGTCTTTTAGGGCTATTTTGTAGATTTTAGGTTTTCCCTGGTTTTGGAAGGTAAGAAGGCTCACTACTTTTCATGTTAAATTAATTACTATTACACACAAAAAGGACAGAAGTAAGTTTACTTTGGAAACTGCAAGCCAGCCAGTGCAGGACACAAGGCATTGAACCCATGGAATTCAGGGTTGTTTACCAAAATATCCTTGTGGCCTTGACAGCAAGAAAGCAATAATGATGAATGAAATCAAGACAGAAATAAGACCAAAAAAGTAACTGTTCATATCAGAATTGTCTCTCATTCCTAAAGAGCACATAAATGCTGAAGCACTGCCATCTGTTTATATCCAATCATTTTTAAAACCTGGGGGGATGGTGGTGGTTCTTGTTTTATATTTTTTATATTAAATTCGCCTACTTCCACATCTGCCAGGTTCACTGACTGTAACAGAGCCTTTGTTCTGTCTCACCCAACACAAGATGTCAATTGACACATTCTCCCCCACACATACAGAAATCTTCCCAGAAAAGCATCTCAGAAAATCCCCGAAATTCTTCAGGTGACTTTGACCTATTAAAAAAATGTGTTTTGTAAAAGGCAGGTAATCAACCCTGACCCTAACAGTTTTAGGGGAAAAAACAGCATTCATTTGTCACGGGAGCATTAGACACTTTTTACATCTGAAAGGTCAGCAGGAATGGCACCACAGAACATGGAAACATCTTGATTCCCTGTCCTTTCTATACACCTTTCTGCTTCCCATTCCTACAAGGTATCCCACCAGCAAAAACCACCTGCAAGTCTGCAAATGAGAGCCAGAAATGTTCATTCATCAGTTTCCTGGTTAACTTCTTTCCCACACGTACACAATTCCTTTCAGGGGATCTACTTACTCAGCAAGGAAGACTTAACACAGCCCATGCTCTGCTCTACTCTACAGCACTTTCTCTGCAAAAGCACTTTTAACTGACATCGAATTTTGTTTCTTATAATACCCACAGGTCTGGATGGCAGCATAAAGGGTCTGCTGTCACCACCACAGTCCCCTTTCTTTCTATCTCCTTTCCCAAACAAACAAGACCATAAAAAAAAAAAAAGGCTTATTATTATTCTAATAAATACATATACTTCAGCTAAACCTTTATTTACTCATGTGTAGGGAGTCTGGCTAGGTGCACCAGGATTTCTTTTGTGCAATGACTGGGATGTAATTACAAGTCTCTAAATTTAAAGCAGATGTGAAGAAAACAAAACCATCACGTGCCCTTTTTAAAGGCAAAACACAAAAAGCAACAGGTATTAGAACTCCAGCACTTATATCCCACATATCACTTCCTAGGGATAAACTGATTAACTCTGACTCTTCAAATTATGTAGAAGACTGAAGAGCTGTGGATGTTAATTTTCTGTCACTGTATGGCTGAAGAGTTTACAGGCTCATTTTAGAGTATAAAGTCAGTAAATACTCTCTGTTTTTATCCATGGCTGTTTCTCTCTTTCCCACAGGTGGCATGCAACCAACAACCCACCTCCTAATAGCAGAAACAAAACGTTCAAAGCACTAAAGATATTTCAGAAGTGCCTAGAAGCACTAGTGAACCCGTGCAGCCAGCCAGCCTAAAGTCACCATGGGCAACACCACAGTGCAAGGCAAAGCATGCTCCAGCTACAGAAATTCCATCATAATCTCACCCTGACAACAAGGATATTGACATAACCCACGTGCCACAAAACACCACTACTGCTACATCAGCACTGGATTTTCTAGGATCTCCTGCTCTACTCCTGCATGCCAGAGTTAAACTCTTGCCTTGAACAGGCAGCAGTGGATAGAGCCCTCCTCACCTCACTGGCCACCCTTTGCAGCAGGGTGGCCAGCAAGGGTCAAGAACCCACACTGTGGGTTTAGTTCTGTAATTTAAAAAGCCACATGCAGCCCTCCACACTTAGATTTCTTACCAGACCAACTCAGCTAAAACAAGCCAGACCCTCCAAACACAACACAATTCTCCAGCGGCTTAGCCAGGTAAGGGCTGTAACAAAACTCTCACCCCAGAGAGGTTTTCAGGGGAACAGGCTTGAAAAGAGGGAGGGGTGAGGGGATGAGAGATAACAATGGAAGAGTATCCTGCTTCACACAGAAAGGAATAGGGGCAAGGAACTCAAGCACTGGCTACAATAGCATAGTGAAATATTTCTATTCATACAGCTGCTACCAGGAACTGAGAAAGTGGCATATTCAAAGAAAGAAAGAAAAAAAGAAAGGAAATAAAAAAGAACCCACTAAATATCAAAGACGCCTCAAAAAACCAGACAGGGTTTCTCTCCTCACCAAGATTTGCAATTCAGTAAAAGGGAATAGGCCACATAAGTACCAAACTTGCCTTTTTTGCTAATCAGGCCATTAGCCACATATTACAGATGAAAAGTTACGTGAATGGAATCTCAAAAAAGCTCATGACAGGATCAAAAAGAAAGCTAAAAATTATGAGAAACATGATGCTTTAATATAGTCCAGAGAGCAGGTTTTATTCAGTTCAGACTGCTGTTAACATCCCAACAGTGATTTAATTACACTTAAATTGGTTTCCCAGAAGTGGTGGAAGAAGTTCAAATTATATCAAAGATTATGATAAACTCACATTTCATTCAGCAGATCCCAACCTTTTTCTAGCTCCAACCCCTCTTACAGCCTGATGGATTCAGATAATTCCAAATTTCTGGATGGCACAGTAGGCACAGACTTGACTGTTCTGTGATAAAGTTCTGAACTGTGCTTCCAGAACTGAACCACACTCAGTGCAGCTGTTAACTGTATAATCACTGCTTTCATTACTGAAAAAAAAAAAAAAAATCCCCTATTTCACTACCAACTCTAGTCACAACAGCACGGGCAAGGTGGTGATTTCTCTTGTCTTATTCCATCTGGAATGCCTCTAAGGGTGCTGACTCATAACTGCCCCTGAACTGGGGCAGACACATCCGAGCTGAGCTGCTGCAGCTTCCAACACGAACTCCAGGATGGTGTCAGGCTGGAGCTCAGGAGGAGATGTGTGTGCAGCCACCTACGGCTGCAGACGCAATAATCTCAGGGAGCAAAGGAGGGCAGGCAGCTGGTGGAGGTGGCTGCTGCAGACATCCTTGCCCAGTTGGCCATTGTTTGAGAATTACAACCCCACAACCAAGCCAGAGAACTGTCTGTGGTTACAGCCTGTTGGATCTGAGGTAACAGGCTATGCAGCTACAGCCACCCTGAATAATTGAGCGTGGCCCCCAAAACGTGCTGGGACAAAATGTAAAACATGCATTGCTCTTCAGAACAATTCTATTTTTATCCATTTTCGTTCATTCTCTCGGCTTGTGTACTGCTTCCCACCACCACCAGCATCTCCATAGGTGTTTCTTTATATCTTTGCATCTCCCATTTCCACAGGGGCTTCCCTTTAAACCATCTCACACCGTATCAGCACAAACCATGGCGTGAAACTTCCAGAGCGCACGTAACATTCCAGGTTCAAAAAATCGCGTGCTTCCTAACTAACCTTCAGAGCTCACACTCCAAACGAGACCGATGTGGAAGGGCAGCAGTTCCTGACACAGGCTTCAGGATGGCAGCACACCCAGAAACAAAGCACCGCGTCAGCTGACACGGGCTCGTAGTAGATGCAATAAAATACATTAAACTGACCAGGCAGCGCTCACGGAGAAAACACCAAAAACCCAGCACCGCCACAAGGTCTGGGCAGAAAGACACCGCTCACCATTGCCTGGGCTGAGGTGCCTGAGATAACAAAAGCGTGCGCTTCCCAAGGACAGCCTGAGCAAGCAGGGGCGGAAAAGCACGGCCGGCAAGGCGAATGGGCAGAGCAGCAATGACCGCCCGTGCGAGGCACAACCAAACCCCGCCCGGGCGCCAGCACTGCCCGGCAGGACGCGGCCCGATGCGGCCGCGCTGCCCGGGGCCGGACCGGGGCCGCCCCGCCCCGGGCGGTGACAGCGTGCGGGGCCCGGCGGGGAGAGGCCCCGACCCCCCCCGGCCGCCCCGTCCCTCCGCCCGGCCACAGCCCGCGCACCCCGGGGGGAGNCCCCCCAGCGGACGGCAAGGCGCGTTAACCCGAGCCCCCCCCGCCCCGAGCGCGGCCCCTCACCTGCCTGTCAGCCCGCGGGGAGGGGACGGGCGGCGCTGGCCGCGCTCGGCTCCGCTCGGCTCCCGCCGCGTCTCCTCGCTCGCTTCGCCGCCTCCTCCGCCGCTCCCTCCCTCCCTCCCTCACTCCCGCGCCCCCGGCGCGAGACACGCGCAGGCCCCGCCTCCCCCCCGGCGCGCGCGCTCGCCGCGCGGGGCTTCCCTCGGCCCGCCCCGCCCCGCCCCCGGCGTGCGTCACCGCCCGCGCGCGCGTCCCTCCCGGGGAAGTTTGGCCGCTCTCCGGCGCCGTAGCGGCCGCTCCGGGCGGGAAGTGCGAAAAGGCCGCGGCGGGGCTCAGGTACGGCGGGCAGGGCTCGGCCCGGCGGGTCTGGGAACCGAGCACAGGGCAACGAACCGAGCACCGGGCACCGAACCCGGGCCTCCCCTACGGGCGGCAGCTGAGCGCCCCCCACTCCGGCGGGCCAGGGGCCTGCGCGAGGCCGGTGTTTCCTGAGGGAGCCTCGGGCAGACAGCAAGCCAGCCCAGCAGGAATCCTTCCCAGCTGCGTTTGCTGGCATTTCTGGCCGTGAGGAGCCAGCAGCAGCACCGGCTTCCTGAGCCCTTACTCCCAGCGGACACTGAATTGAGAGATCGTGGCAAATGGGTTAGGTCTGTCAGACTGCACAAGGAATGGCGCTTATGGACATGTAAACTATCGCTGTTTAAATTAGTATCTTCTTGCAATGAATACAGCTTATGTCATAATTATGTCCTGTTATTTCATCATATTACATATGACCTATATTTTATATATTCTTCTTATATTTTATATATTATATTTAACTATAATTTATATTATAATTCAGACCTCTGGCAGGCTGATATCCACTGAGGTCTCAATAACCTGAACTTCCCTTTCTGCTGTGGAAGCAGAGAGTCTGTTTTAAATTAATTTCTGTAGACTCATATAGTGCATGCTACAGTATCTAAGGCCTTCTGTCAAGCCTAAGGTATACCCCCAAAAAAGATATTTTATACTTATCTTGCTGGCTGAGAAGGCAGAAGGATGGAAATAGATACAGGCTTGCCCATGCCTCAAGTATCCTGCCAATTTCAAGTGTAAATGGTTTTCCATTTAGCAACAAGCAAGTGACAACCTGGAGCAAAACAGAGCCTAGGAGCTTTAGGTTTTTCATCCCAGCTTAATTAGTGTTTCATCTTAATAGGTGACCACAGATCACTGTGGGTTTGTGCTGCACAGTTTGTCAGAGCTCCCACAGAGCTGGTTTCCTTTCCAGGCTGGATGAATTTCTTGCCTGGTAATTGATTGGGGAAATCTGCAGGCTTTCTGCTCACAACTGGACAGGCTGCTTTTCCTTGCAAGTCCCAAGCCATTACTCCTGGGTTAAAAACCCTGCTGTCTTTGCCTTGCAAGGACTGAAGTGACTTGTACATCAATGATGTGGTGATAAATCAGTCTCACAGGCTTTTAGAGAGAAGTACCCACGTAAATAATTGATGATATTTGAGTAATATTCCTGCCTGGTCTCCAGAGCAAGATCTTTTTACTCTGCCTGCATGGATGTGAAACTCCTGGAAGAGCAGATGGTTCAGTTTTAGTTTTGTGACTGAGGTGTTACTGTTTCATACCTGGAGAAAAACCAGAATGACAGAGTTGTTGCTCTTTTCTTTCAGTTCTACCCCTTGGTCACTGTTTGTGGTTGTAAGGAATTTTTTTTTAATAATACCAAAAAGATTATTTGTGCAGGAGTACCAGTCAGTCCCTTTAATGAAACCATTTTTTATACAGGTAGTGAGTGAATGCAAAGGAATTAAGCAATGTGAGAAATTAAACAGGATTTATATTCTTGGAAAGCAAATGTATTTCAAATTTGGAACTGTTTGGAATGACCTGTCCCCTAGGATGCTGTTGGTGCATTTTTAACTAATGAAACTTTTTTGGACCCTTTGGAAGGCAAAAATTCCAATGGGCCAAAATTACATAGCAAAGGGGTAGCTGACACACACACCACTGCTGTTAAAGAAAATGTTTGGAGGCATGACCAGCAAAATTTGAAAGATATGCAGGCTAAAACACAGCTAAAATAAGCAGTTTGGGCTGGATTTGTAATTTTTGGGAAAGCAGGCCCCTAAACAGCTTCCAGCAGTCACACTGATGCTCAGTGAACCTGGGGCAGCTCTGTAAAGGCTGCCATGACAGGAAACAGCTCAGAGAGTAAGGAGGTGAATTTCTCATCCTGTGTCCCAAAAATGCAGGAATTGACCAGGTAAGCTTTGTTTCAGATGTTAGGTGTATCCAAATATTCTTAAATAGCAACACACCCCCACAAATGCACCGTTACTCTTCCAAAGTTGTATAAAAGGAAGGAAGAAAGTTTTCCCCTGTGTTCATTAAAATCTTAAAAAAGTGGAGCCAGAAGTAGTGTTTTCTGTTCAGGGCAGGGAGGATCAGGATCCTAGACATGCCAAGAGTAAACCTAGCAGTGCCTGCCAAACAAAAGAGTTCAGTTGTGCTTTTGGAGCCACAGAGATTCCAGTGGAATAAGTGGGACTGCATGGAGGTGCCCACCTGACACGTGCTGGAACTGAGCAGGAATTGTCACAGTGGTGCTTGTGTGCCTTGGAAGCAAATCTGTTTAGAGCACTGCAGGGGGCTCAAACGTGCTATCTGACACCTTTTTTCTCTTGTTACAGAAAGTGGCCTGGATGAGTGAGGGGCATGAAAAAGGCACTGTCAGCACCTGAGGCCAGCTGAGTGTGCAGCAGACACTCAGTCTCCTGAGCTGCCCCTGCATTTCCATGTTTAACTATCAGTGAGTACATTTTCCTCCTGTTGAAGTTAACAGGACATTACCTTGCTTTTCTCAAGTCATCAAGGTTGTTTACCTAGAGATATCAGAAATGAAAACTGGGAGTTCTATTGTGTGCAGCTTATCCAGGAGCAATTGCATCATCTCTTTTCCACCTCTCTTAAACTGTGGAGCAGCACAGGCCTGCCTTGATTAGGAACATCTGCCCCATTACACTTGAAAGAGGTACCTCAGCTCTGTGTCAAAGCAGCCTTGGCATAACAGGTAAATCAGCTTATAAAATAGTTTGGGGTTCTCAGAGGAAAGAAAACTCCACAGAAATATAAAACTGCAAAGTTTCTTGGATGTTTTCTTAGAGTAATACCTTAGGTTAAGTATGTGGCATTATCTTTAGTGCTTGCTAAATCCCATTTGCTGCCTGTGTAACTGTTTGCTCTTGCTGGGCTCAGTGGAATTGCATTTATTGAAAGAATGTGGAAGATTTTTACTCAGCCCCTCTGTGAAGGAAGCTTACCAGATAGAGGGCAAGGATGAATGAAATGGATTCCCACAGTCTGTGCTGAAGTCCTGTCTGAGCTTGTGGGATGCTGGGATTAATTCCTTGGAACAGCCATGTTCTAGCTGAGCATTGCCCAAGCTGTGGTGCCTGCACAATGCATGGTATACAAACTATTCTGAAGTGATGCAAAACTGCCTGCTTCCACCTCACAGGTGAGGAAAACTGGGAACTGGCACTCCTACCACAGGATTAGAGCACGGTTCAAAAACCTACTTTGTCAAGGCAGAGTGGAACTGGTAGGAAAAGACATGATTTAATAAATAAATTTGTAGGGGGGTAATGGGCAGTGGGATAGAAAGGTGTGTGAGGATGTTAGAAGATTAGAAGTTATGTCCACACAGTCACAGCAGGTGAAGGTGTTGCTGCTGTAGCCCCCCAGTGGAAGATACACTTGAACAGATTAAGTTCAGGATTATCAGTTCTGGAAGACTGGTTTATTTCCTGCACAGGAATTTGTGTTACACACACATTTTTCTCAGCAGTACTTAATTTCACCACCATGCAAATATACCTACTTGTAGAGTGCTGCTGAAAATTAGTATTTCATAGCCAATTTCCCAAAACAGAGATTGGTTTTCTCTGATTATGTACCCCAATGTGTTCAAATTTTGATAGACAAGATCAAAACAGGTAGTAGTAAAAGCTGTTATGTTTCTTTACCTGTTCTAGTGTGTCATGGCAATGTTTTGGAGCACAGTGCAGTACCTCTAGTCTTATGTGGACTCCTTCTCAGTGACAATAAAACTTCCTGAGAACACTACCAGCTAAACTCAAAAGAATTCCCTATAAATAATAAACAATTGTTCCATTGCCACAGATAGTAAATTATAATTCCTGGGTGCCTTTAAACTGATAAGCTGCTTGTATTATCCTGCATATTCAAAGACATATTTGAACTTTAATTTTTAGTCTTTCTGATTTAAAAATAGGGCATATTTTAACACTGATTAATGAGTCAGGCAGCCTCCTACCACAGCCCTGGCCTCAGAGGGTGTCTGAGGCTCTTGAGCACTTCAGTGAATAGCTTATTATCTACTTCAGCATTAATGTTTCATGTGGGTTAAAATATTGTGGGGGGAGGGGGAGGCAGTGAGGAAACCATATTCCAAGGAGGAATGGAAGCACCTTGCCTTCCCTGGCCCTGACACCAAGATAGATTTATAGCATAAAACATACAGAATTAACTTCTCTCTCTTCCCAGCTCCTACTCTAATAATATAAAGTATTATTTTTAAAGTTGTTATTTTATTATAAAACTTCCATACCTTCTCAGTGATGGCTCATGGGCAGCTCCTCACAACACTGACTCCTTCCTCCTCTCCTCACAGCCAACAAACTCCAGCTCTCCTCTTAACCAGCTAACCCACTCTTTTATAGCACTCATCCTTACTGGACATAGCTGTGGCCTATTAAGGGCAGGCCTGTTCCTCATCTTTGTAATTAGTACAGCTGCACCTCCTCAGGGGTGAGATTGCCTTCTGCACTATCTTTGTTCTCTTACATTTTGTCCCCCCACATTGTATCCAAGTTGTGTCACTCAGAAATGCTCAGACAATTGCTTTGAGACACGGGCCTTTGCTGTGCTGCTCTTCCCCAAATGCAAAACCCCCACACTGCTCTGATGGAGGGTTTGGTTCAAACAAGACTCACAGCTGAAGCTGCTCCTGCAGGTAAAGCCTGAAACTAAACTGGCATCTTGTGTCTCCTTCACTCAGACTGGATTCACACACAATTTGAAACCACTGACAACTAAATTTAGACTGATAATGGTGCACACCATATAAAAGCTTGAAGGACTTCAACTAAAACCAGTGTTAAGCAATTTTGCATCAAAATGCCACCCACCTACTTTGCATAAATTGGTCATAGTGTTTGTAGGCAAGTGACATTTCAGTCATTGTTTCTTCCCAAGGGCTCAGAGTGATTAAGATCTGATTGAGGCAGCTTGGGGGTGTGAGTGGAGGCAACAGTATTGTTCAAATTTCAGTTCCCTTGACCACACATACTATTTATGTCTCTCTAATTGTCTCCCTCCCCATGCAGTGAACTCTTTGCTGAGCAGAGGAAATAACCTGCTTAAATCACAAGTGTTTCTCCTGCTAATGTTGCTTTCCATTTGCTCTTTTCCAAAGCCAAGTGTGTTTGCAAATTGCTGCTAACTTCAGATGGAAAATGCATTCATGTGTATGAACACTGTACAATTACACAAGTTTGGGACCAGAGAGGAATAATTCTAGCCAACCAAAATTAAGGAGAATTTTAGCTACACTTGGCATAATTGCCAGTGCTCACATTTGCCAAGGAAACAACCGGTATCCTTTTTCAGAAAATTGTTTGCCAAGTCCTCAATGAACTTTGCATTTCTTGTTTAGAGACTGGAAAAACAACTTATTTTAAAAAGTGCCACACCTGGAATGCATTAACAAAGCAGAGTGCTAGCCAGGTGCTGACAGACTGGCAAATCATGCTACCTGATGAGGATTTTAGGCTTTCTCAAACTGTTTTGACATCTCCAGCTCTCTTGTGTGTCTGATATTTTCTTCTATTTGTATTGCCTACAAAAGTCTTGAGTGCTGGGCTATCAGTGTGTTCAGCATTAGTGCAAATACAATAAAAGATTATCTCTGTGGGTTATTTGGGTGTGCTGCTACAGCCCCTGGCACAGCTGGATCCACAATCTCCCCAGCCCACTGCTCCAGAGCAGGGGGGAGTGGCCATGCAGTGCTGGGAAGTGTTGGATACTGGCTTAGAAAAGGGTGCCATCTACTGAATTATTGGAACCACTTCTTACAGTTCTGACAGGCTCTGTGGCTCTCAGCTCTGCCTGCTTGGTTTATGTGGCACCATGTAGCACCAGGCAGAGTGGTTACAGTCAAAACAGCAATCTGAAATAAAATTGACAAGTCAGGGTATAGCTGAGTAAAGTTTTAGAAAGTTGTCCCTACTTTTTATCAAAGTATTAATGAATATTGAAAGTGGTCCAGGAAGACCGTGCTGAAGAATCTGAAAGAGGGAATTCTTTTTCCTTCCCTGGCATGGTACAGTGCCTTCACATTTACCTAAAAGGAAAAAACCCACATTTATAATTTTTTACCAGTGTGATATTTAGAATAAGCTTTTTGCCATGTCTTCCTATGGACTGTCAGTTCTGTCCTCTTCAGTCATTATACTTTCTCTCATCCCTAGGGATGCCTGAGAGCCAGGGGAAGGACAGTGAGAGCTACAGCAGCAGCAGCAGCAGCTCCAACACTGTTAACTCAGCGGCTTCCTTTGGACAGGTCAGTTCCTGTTGCCCCAGAGGGAAATGCAAGTGCCCACACTACTGGAAATCTGCACTGCATGTTTATTCCTTTTAAACATGGGTACAGTAGGGCTGGAATCATGCTGCACCCTACTGTACTTCACATTTTTTCTCTGCAATAGTCTTGGCATGCCTCGAGTTGTAATAAATTGGTCTGGATTCTTCTCAAAAGGTTTTCACATCTTGTACCTTAAAAGTGAGTCTCATTTTATTCTCTCTTATTCCCAGATGGCCTGAGTCATGCTTACACATATTCTCAGTACAGGTTCAGAGAAGCCAACTGCTTTCAGCTATTAAAAAATCATTTTGAAATGTTGTAAAATAATTTGAAAAATGAAAACTGTATCTGGACTGAGCAGAGCTTTTGGTGGTGAATTCTCTTCTCCATGATAGGCATTTCTACATACTTCTTGAATGTGGCACAAGCTTGAGTATTTTCCCTTTTTCCTTATACTTTTTTTGGTTACAGGCTTGCATTCTAGAGTCAGAAAAAGATGAAATTTTTACTGTTAAGTTTAAATAGAACTAAATACAAATTAGAGCAGTTGAGCAGTTTGGCAGGAGTTGGAATTTATATGGCACACACACACACACTCACACACACTAAAAGATTCTGTGTTCTGCTGAATTGTTTGGGCAGCCAGTACATGCATACACAATATTTATGATTTAAGTGGTGAAACCTCTGTTCTCTCCCACTTCAGGCCATAACAACACGAGCTTTTTAGTTCTCAAATCCTTAAACAAACACTTAGGCTTCGCTACATTTTATAAATTGGATTTCTACTAAGACAAACCTAAACTTACAAGGTTTGTCTCAGCAGAAATATTCCCATGATGCTGGTGTTCTCCAATGATACCAGTGATGTTGGAGTTATCCAAAGAAATTGGATAACTCAAGAAATTCCTATTCTGACTGCTTTCCTGAGCTGATGTCCTCCCTGCCCTGGTGACACGTGGCAGTGGAGTACGGTTAATCTTCAGTCCTTTTGGAGTCTTTAAATACAATGTTCTTGTTGGTCACAGAGATACTATGTTGGTTTTGAGCAGTAATATAGAAATTTATATGTCTGTTTGTGGTTAGGGTCATTAATGAAAAATAATTGCTGCATCTCAGTAATTAATGCCTGTATCTATAAAGAGTGAGTTGAAAAAAGAACAGCCAATGCACGTACCTACCCTGAGGTGTTTCCTCACCTGTTACACCCAATTTCCAAAACTGGCTCATGCACCTGTTGGAAGGCCTGGGATGCAGCAGTGCTGTTAGAGAAGGGGGAGGCTGAAGCAGGCAGGGTGAGATGTGTGTTGTGTTGTTTTTGCCCAGTATCAGTACACAGCCAGCGAGTATCGAGCTATTCAGCACGCTCTGCGGCAGAGGCTGGGCCCAGACTACATCAGCAGCCGGCAGGCAGGAGGAGGGCAAAAGGTAGGAACAAACATGATGTTTCAACTCAATTTTTCCCAGGAAAATTAGGGTTTAAGTTGTTACAATATTCCTTTTTTTTTTTTTTTAAGTTAATTTCCCTCTTTTAATATGCAGATATGAATGCAAAGCAAGCAGGGCATAAGTTCTGGCTTTTATTGAGCCAGAGATTTTCCTTTTACACTTAAAAAGACTCAATTTTTCAGTGCTTCTTCCTTTTCAAAGGAATATTTATCTACTTGTGCAACACTGAGGTGTTTTCCCTATTTTTTCCCAGACTTGGATTATATGAAACATTGTATAACAGTGACTCCATTTACCATCTTTAGTGTCCATTCTGCCTTCTGTTGATTAAGTGATATTTGTTGTTATATTAATCCCCACCACATTTGCTGGGAGAGAGTGCACCTGAAGCTGCACCATCAGCCTTTTATTCACATTAACTGAACCTTGAATTTAGCTGGGTTTCCTCAGTGTAAGATGGTATGTGTAATCCCTGGTAAAAATAAAGCGTGCAGAGATGCGTGCATAAGGCTACATATTTATAAATATATTTATTTGTATGTGCTCTTCTTTTCAGGTCTGTTACATTGAGGGTCACAAGGTCATCAGTCTGGCCAATGAAATGTTTGGCTTCAATGGCTGGGCTCACTCAGTCACTCAGCAGAATGTTGGTAAGGGTCTCTTGGGGGCAAAGAAGTCTTTGCTCCCTCTTCTTTCACTGTGAAGGAAAATTCTCTCAGATAAGGGCCAGGGTTTCCATCACAGAATCAGAGAACATGACTGGAAGGGAGCCACAGGGATCACTGAGTCCAGCTCCTGGCCCTGTGCAGGACACCCCAAGAGTCACACCATGTTGTCCAAACGCTCCTTGAGCCCTGGCAGGCTGTGCTGTGCCCACTGCCCTGGGGAGCTGTTCAGTGCCCAGCCATCCTCTGGGGGAAAAACCTCTTCCTGATACCCAACCTAAACCTGCCCTGCACAGCTTCAGGCCATTCCCTCGAGTCCTGTCACTGTCACCACAGAGGAGATCCGTGCCTGCCCCCCTCTTCCCCTCACAAGGAAGAGTAACTGCACCGAGGTCTCCCCTCAGTCTCCTCCAGGCTGAACAGACCATGTGCCCTCAGCTGCTACAACTTCATCACTTCAAAGCAGCTGGGCAGAGGCATGAGCAACTTCCAGGTGTCTTAACAGTTAGTAAAAATGAGAGAAATTGAATAATAATGGAGCTTCTGTTTTCATTTTAGAGCTGTCACAGTCATTATTCTGAGTGTGTTTATGATTATTCTTGAGCTATTCTAATCAAGTCTCTGATCTCTATGAGTACACTCAGTCAAGAGTAATTACAATTAAACTGTTTGACACTCAGCAGTCCTAAGCCAACTTTCATACTCACCTGTAATTTTTAGACTCTAACCAGTTGATATTCTCAGTTAATATTCCCCTAATCTTTAGGGACCCTTCTTTTTCTGCAGATTTCTCTTCTAGCTAATACCCAGTATTGAGGTTTTTACAACAGAAAACTTTTCAATTATAACATGTTCAGCTGATCTTAAAGCTTCAGCCTCTTCCATGCTGATGGCTGAAATAGTTCCTGCCAGAGGAGTGTTGTCCTTGTCTGCAGATCTGCTGTGCTTATGCTGAAGACTGGTTGTTGAAGTAGGTCAAAGCAGCAGCTTAAATTACCTTCTTCCTTCTCCCCCACCTTCAGAAATCTTTTCTTAACTCAGGCTGGTAAATTCTAGAAATAGAACAACTTACTTCATTGCTTTCCATCTATTCTGCACCACAGTTTTCTTTCCCCCTTTTCAGTCAAGAAAGGACTGACATCCTTCAAACTTCTACCTTTCTCAGATAATGCCACAACTAGTCATTCCTTAGAAATACAGCCTTTCTGTCCATGATAAAACCTTGTGCACATTATTTGCAAACTGCAGACTTCTACTAGATCATAAGAAAGAAATTACTTTCACAGACAACAGTTGCTTTTCCACTATTGATTTTATACATTAACACTTAAAATATCTCCTTCCAGACTTTGTTGACCTCAACAATGGCAGGTTCTACGTGGGTGTCTGTGCTTTTGTGAAAGTTCAGCTTAAGGTAAATGGGTTTTTTTGTTGGCTCTGACTGTAGCTGAGCAATTGCCTGAAGCTGTGAATGAAAGTCCTTGCATGGGTCAGAGCACAGTCCTCGGGTACTGCCCCGCATTGGGGAACCTGCTGGTGTCCTAAACACTGACCTTGCTGTGGAACAAACAGCCAAGAGCAAGTACCCAGGCTTGGGAAAGCACAGCACCTGCATGTATAAAATCCTCTTGTATTTGAAATTGTACTGCAGGATGGGTCATACCATGAAGATGTGGGCTATGGAGTCAGTGAAGGCCTGAAGTCTAAAGCCTTATCCTTAGAAAAGGCAAGAAAGGAGGCAGTAACAGATGGACTGAAGAGAGCACTCAAGTAAGTGAAGATCAGGACTTGCACATTTTCAGAAGTCCTGTGGGATGAAGGGTTTTCAGTCTCAGTGAGCCCTCTTGTTTCTCAGGTGCTTTGGCAATGCTCTTGGGAACTGCATCCTGGACAAGGACTACCTGCGAGCCGTGAACAAGCTTCCCCGGCAGGTGCAGTACAGGGGCTGCCAGAGCCCCACTGCCCCTGATCCTGCAGCCACAGAGCTGTCAGTGCTGCTAGCAGTGCAGCTCTTTCCTGAGGGCTCCTGAGACCAACAGTCTTCCCAGCAAACAGCTCACACGCACAAGGCAGGGTGTGCCTGAAGTGGCACCTCAGGAACCACCACGATCCTGCCTGCTCCTGCTGTGCACCAGCTGGGGGCAGGAGGCTTCTAGGCAGTGACCTGCCTTGTGGAAGGAGGGAAAATGAAGCCTTCTGCAATTGCTGATCCATGGGCTTTGATAGCAAAGCTGTCTTCAATCACACTAGGACTTGCCAAACTCTGCTAGAGGCCTAGAGCTGCAAGGCAGTCCTGTCAAACACTGTAGGAGCAGATCCCAAGTGACACCTCACACAGTAAAGATGGCCCAGGTCTCTGGTTTGCCAGGGTCATCGTCTATTACAGACACTGCCACAAACTTGTAAGGTGACAGAGCCAAAACATCCCATCTTTAATAAACAGGAATGGTGTACCTTCCTCAGAACTCAGTAAGGGTTGGCCTTGCCCTTTAGCACAAGCAGGAGAATGGACTGGTAAAACAAACTCACTCAGCAACAGCCTTGTGAGGCTGTGAGAAGCTGTAAAATCCTGTTCTCGTTTGCAGAGCAGTGTGGGGAGACCTTACCATCTGCCCTGCAGCACTGAACAATTAAAGCAACACAAAGTCACAGGAATTCAATGATTAACTGACTGAACTGGGTACTGAAAGAGCATTTCAGGTTTCTAACTTACTGTTCAGCTTCGAGCAAACAAAATAGATTTTTAACCAGTGCTTATTTCATTAAGTTGATGATAGAAATTTCTGAACCTTTTCTTTTTTCTCCTTGACCAGGTACCCCCTGAGTTAGACTTGGTCAAAGCTAAAATGCAGGACTATGAGCCTGAAATAGAGCAAGCAAGATACAGCAGCTATGTGGAAAGGCAGAGTGCAGCAGGGAGACAGCACTGTGAGGTGACACCTGGCTGTAAGCCTGGCCAGACAGAGGTTGCTGTGACAGCAGATCAGAAACAGCCCAATGCTCCCAGGTGAGACTGCTGTTACAAATAAATGTATTTTTTAACCTGTACTAGAAGTTACTGGGCCTTTTAAAACATGTAGGCAGCTCAATTCCAAAGTGCCATAAAGCACTAGTTCAGTGGATTTTCTTTACTGTTATTTCTTAATGACTTTTTTCTTCACAAAATGTAATTGCTGAGACCTGTTTAACCTTGTGTTTGTGGGTGGGAGAACAGAAGCACAGACTCCCTGGCCATGGAGCGTGATGCCACTTACCAGAGGAAGCTGCGCCAGAAGCGGCTGCAGCAGCAGTTCCGGGAGCAGATGGAGAAGAAGCAGCAGGTGCCAGGAGTTACTCCCAGCAGCAAACAGGGTGAGGAGTGGCATTCCAACCTGGCTGTTTCCCTGAGAGCTGCTGGCAGGCACAGGCTACCCACAGTACAGGAGCCTGGCCAGCTTCATGTGCTGTTGTGCTGTGCCATCAACACCCCTCTGAGGCCAAAGGCAGGAGCATTATCATATATTCCCCCTCTGTGTTCCAAAAGTGTCAGGAATGTCAGCTCTAAACCCGCATCATTAAATCTGCAACTTTCCAGCCACCCTAAAGCAGCTGCTGCCAGCACCATTAACCTGCTGCATCCAAGCTGAGGCACCTGGCTGTGGTGGCTGCAAGCAGACACTGCCCTTGGCTCCCAGGGAAGTCTGGGGCCTTGTGGTAGCAGGAACATGGTGATGGACAGGCTAAAAACCACATTGAAGTAGCACAGCTGTACATCAGGTACAGAATGTTACCACATTCAGCTTCCAAGGCTTAGCCAGCTAAGACAAAAGAGGGTACCTGGTGGTAGTGCTGGCTGTCATTTCAGACTTGTGCTCTGCTAAGAAGGAGTCAAAGGGTGTGTCTGTATTTCTGGTATTAATCTCTTCCTGTGTTGCCTCCTTGCAGCAAAATCCGATGCTCCTGCGAAGCACAGCACTCCAGCAGAAGTGCAACAGGAGCTGGCCATAGAAGAGGAGTTCTTTGCAGGTCAGCCAAAGAGTGATGAGTAATAAAGTGTTAAATCATTGGCATTTAAACCAGGTTAATTCAGAGTACAGTGCAAGGGTAAAAGCTCTGAAGAATTGGAATAACAGAAGTGTGTGATTCTGACCTTAATAACAATACAAACTTTGCCTGAGTGGCCGAGAGATGAAGTCCATCTCTATCGGGGGTTTCACTTAGGCTCTTCAGTAGAGTTGTACACCTGTTTGATAAATTCTTTTCCTGAGGTGATACTGCACAATACAGAACTTGGGGAGGGGGGATTTGGGGTGTGTCTGTTCTCAATATAACCATGGATATTTTGGTACACATTGTGGCGCCTGCACTTTGCTTAGGGACACAAGGGGCAGGACCCTGCTGCACACTGACATGAGAGATGCTTTACAGCTTAAATTTTATAGTGGTCACTGCTTGCAGGAAAAGAATATGCTGTAGTACACTACTGTGTCATGGATCCCCTTCTCATTCCTTCCAGATGATCCCGAACTTTGGGACATTTCCTTGGAGAGCACTGACCTGAAGGTAACAGGTGCCAAAATATCAGAGCCCTCCCCAGCTGCCCAGCAGGCTCCTGAGACCCCCCGTGGCCAGCAGCAGACGAGCACTCGCTGCAGGACACCCCACAGGGGGACCCAGCACAGAGCTGCTGCCAGGCTGGCACAGCTGCAGCCCCCTGCTGCAGCCCCCGGCACCAGCTGTGCCCACCAGCACACCCCAGGTACGTGCTGCCACGAGTGACTGAGCTCTGGCTTCACAGGGGCTCTTGGGAGATTGGGAAAATCCGGTGGGAGAAACATTCCTTTCTTTTGGACCTGGCTGCAGAAGCTGGGACAGCGCTCTTGGAAAACTGCTTTTTTCCATCCTACTGTCCTATCAAGAAGAGTTAGAATTGAGGAGCATACTTACAGGCAGAAAAAATGTCCATTTTTCACTTTCTCCCTGTGGCAGGGTGCAGCCCCCTCAGGAGAAGTCAGAGCTTGAAGAAAAGGAGACTGGAACCTACGTGAGGCACCCGGTGGGATCTGTGCCTCTCTCATGGATTACATCACAAGGCTGCAGCTGGCTTTCCAAATTGTGTCACATGGACTCTGCTGTACATTATAGTGAAGCAACAGAGAAGAAGTTCATGTACTCTCAGGTCATTATGTATTTCAGATGCCTTTTTCTAGAACCACGCCATTATTTGTGCTCCTGCAGCATGAGACTTGTGGCCATATTACAAGTGGATATTACCTGTAAATTGCCTTAAGCAGGAACAGAATGGATTGTTAAAAATGAGATGCAGTTCACAGCTTGTCTCTCCCTCGGTGCTGCATTCCAGCACAGCGATTTTCAGTACGAGGGGGTTGTGGCCAGGGGACAGGAGCTGTGGCTGCACACCCGGCCAGGGGTGGCACTGGCGGTGTCTGAGGTGCAGCCCTGCCCTTTGCCCCGCGGCTGCACGGCCGGGGCCGAGCCCCTCGCTCCTGTTCCCGTTCCCGTTCCCTTCCCTGCAGTCCGGGCAGCACCTCCGGCTGTGCCTGTGCCTCAGGGCATCCCGCTGCCAGCCTGCACAGGCAGCCCCGTGCCTGCTCCGATCCTTGGGAGCACGAATGGGAGCTGCACTGCTGTTTTTAAATAAGCTTTCAACCCCTTTCAATACAGAAATAAACATAAATTTAAAAAGCAAACCCCGCTGGGAGCTGTTCGTGCCCCTCTGCCCTGCCAGCCCTTCCACCTCGTGCCCCACTGAACGGCCTCGAAGGAGGCACCGTGTCCTAAAGAGAAAGGGGCAGCGCTGCACTGCGCAGCCAGACAGGAACTTCACAGGGGTCCAGAGGTTACAGCAAAGCCAAAAGCCGCTTGGGCCGTCCAATTAGCGGGCCAAATGAAGAATCTGTAAGCAATATTGGAAGAATACTCCCTTACCCATTTCGAGCAGCTCCGTGCAGGAAAGGGAGGAGTTCTGCCGGGCTGGCCACTGCTCCAGGCACCACCACGGCAGGGCTCAGCCCCGCGCTGCTCCCGGGGCAGGAGAGCTGTCACAGTCCCAAGGGGTCCGTGGGGGGAGCCTGGCACTGCAGTGCTGGAGGCAAGGAGAATGATGCCACATGACTGGAAGTTAGAGCTGAACCAGGAAAATCTACACAAACTCTGGGATTAGTCCAACCCTGAAATCAATATCAGGTTTCAAACAGGACCTACTCCCATGGTTTGCCTCACTGCTCTAACTGTAAAGACATTTGGAATATTCAGAATTTATTCCTCTTCCTCCTACTCAGCCTTCATCACTTAATCAGTCCTTTTCCCTTAAAAGATCCTTTTCTATACTCTTACCTCTGAACAGGACAGAGGACAGGAATTGACTTCAGTGAGGAAAGACAGGACGAGCTGTAATTAACAGTTATAGATTACATCTAGAAAACATTTCCACATTTCACCGTACTTGTTTCTGGCCAGCTCAGTGCTGCCTTCAGAACAGTTCAGGGAAGAAGCACATTCCACATGTTTGAGTCATGCCTCGCTGTTGAAACCATATACCTGCTAGGAAGGGAGCACGCAGACCTTCAAATCACTGAATTCAGAGCTGTTCCAAACTTTTGCAATGAAAAAAATTCAAAAGTCTGTGACAAAAATGTAACGGCCTCAGCTTCCTTGGCTCTGGAAACAGTGCTAATATAGCTGTGCCTCCTCTGCCAGTCACTGCAATGAGTCTCCCGGGATTGGTCCCTTTGAAAAGGGCAGGAAAACTTATACTGGGAGCTTTTTTTGCCCTTCGAGGCTTGCGCAGCATGACTCATAACAGAAGCTGTTCTTAAAATGGAAAGAAATGCAGCAGCAATTAGTGTTTAGAAATACCAAATTTCTTCTTGTGAGAAATGACACTCGCTTTTAAAATTTCAAAGATTTATTGAAACTCAACAAAAATACAACAAAGGACTGAATAAGGAAAAATTACAATGCAGGGAGTCTCAGTGACCAGCAGCCACGTGCTCTCCTGCAAAATGGCTGCTCTGCCTTTTATACCCTTAGCCCATCCCAAAGTTTTTTCAGTCAGCTCCTTCTCTGCCGTCCATGAGTGGAGATCACTCTCTTCCATCTCCCCATCATCATCCCCAAGTGCCCCTTACATCTTAACATACACATAATATCCATCTCTTAATTGTGAGAGCTGACCATCACATTATAGTGCAAAGTGATATTATTGTAATATTATTGTAGGACAACATTATTGTAATTGTCCTCCCATAGTCCTCTTCCCCCTTGTAACAGCCTCGGTAGTGGGGGCATTTGGGGAGGGTAAGATTATTACCAGGAGGCACACCATGACAACAGCTGACCTCCAATCGAGATGCAAGAGAGTGATCTCCACCCATGGATGGCAGAGAAGGAGCTGACTGACAAAACCTTGGGATGGGCTAAGGGTATAAAAGGCAGAGCAGCCATTTTGTGTGGCCACTGGTTACTGAGACTCCCGATGCTGTAATTTTTCTTCATTCAGTCCTTTGCTGTATTTTTATTAAGGTTTAATAAACCTTTGAAATTTTAAAAGTGAGTGTCGTGTCTCATGCTGTAAATCTGCAGTTGAGAATGAGGCTGTGTTCTACTCTTGGCTGTTACAGTTCCAATCTGAGGACTGAATTCCTGTTACTAAGGAGTCCCTTGTCCCAGCCCGGCAGGATGGGAGCCCATCCCTGCTCACGTCCAGCCCCGAGGAGCAGGCAGGGGGGCAGCACAGAAGGGTCGGGAAGGGTCCTCAGGACACGCTGCCCATCCCTCAGCGCCAAAAGCAAGCACAGCACCCGCCCCTGACACACCCTCCCTCAACCTCTGCTTCCACGGGGACAGCCACCAAGCGTCTGCCACAGCTGTGGCATTTGGCAACCTGGTGACAGTCTCAGCCACAAAAGCAGTGACAGCTGATCCGTTCTCCTCCCTCAGGCCACTCCCCTCCTCAAGATCCATTCAGGAGTTACTCTTTGCAGTACCTTGTTTTGGAGTATCCTGTTAAAGGCCAAAGGCCTGTGACTGGTCACTGCTTTTGAGCAGTTAAAGTTCTCATTAAATTGGGTTTCTTGTATTTCCTGTAACAAACTGGTAAATTGGGTAACAGTTCCATCACTGCAGGACCAGGACAGAGGGGCTGGAACCTGATGTTCCACAAGAAAACCCACAGCTCAACCAAAGCAGGTTTGGTTTATTTGAATGGCTTAATTCAATACTCTACAAAGGTAACAAACTGCAGCACGGCGCACAGTCATATGAGAAGGGTTCAGTGCAAAACACAACTAACTACGGCCAGGGAAGCCCAAAGTTTCAATTAATTTTATTTTTTTTATTTTTATTTTTTTTACAGTGTACATTGTTAAATAATGTAAAGAAAACGCTTGTAATTCAGAAACAGATTTTATGTGGAAAAAGATACTCAAAGTGTAATATTAAACAAAATAATTTAACAGTTCAGTAGCATTAGTTTATTCCTCTAGACTTCAGTTATTCATCCACAGGAGGAGAGGGAGGGAGAAAAAAAAAATCAATGGTAAATAAAACCAGTTCTTGCATAACATTAAGTGAAAAAACGACCTCAAACTTATTAGATCAAATTTAAATAACCATGTGCTGCATCCAGCTGACCAGTTCCTCTGCCACGGGTATTGCCCTTGTCTCTTACTGCCTCAGCTCTGTCCTGGTCCTGTTTCCCTGGGCGTGCTCAAGAGCCTCCCCCCTGCATCCATCCTTCCAGAGGTTCCCACCTGGCCTCAGCCCGGGGCCCGCTGCTCTCCTGCTCCCCTGGAGCCTGCCCTGTGCCACAGCAGCTCTGTGCTCCTCTGCAGCTCCGCCCGCCCTGCCGCCAGAACTGCTGCTGAGCGAGGCACAGCAACGAAAGCATCTCACACGTTTCTTTGTGAAAATCAAAGCATGAGAACATCTGCAGACACAAAAACTCCCTATTAAGGAGCAGCAGGGAACAGCGCTCGGAGATTAAAACAAACATGGACAAATAACACCCCTGTGATGCACCAGCCTCCAGGACACCGATGACCTCCTCCCAAGCTACACCCTCATCCATCACAGCTTCCTGCAGCACTACATAAACACTGGCTGGTATTATTTTGACTTTGAAAAGGAAACCAGTATTTCTTAAACAGAAAAAGGGAGAATGACCAAAGCAGAAGATACAGTACAGGTACTAAGAGGTGACAAGTGACAGACAGTGACAGTCCTGGTACCAGCTTGAAATTTGTTAAGAGTGAACAAAATTGTAAATCCTCCAAGTAAGACAGAGGAAACTTCTTGATGCCGGCTGCTTCAAGTACATCCATTGCCGGCAATGGACGTTGCACCAGGACAGTCTGTTCCTGGCTTAAATGAATTTTACCAAAAAAAAAGGTAAGAAAAGCAATCCCAGCAGACAAGCCCAAGCCAACGAGCAATGGCACCTCTCCCTCAAGTCACATCCTGACCAAACATCTTTACCACTTCACAGCTGGAGTCAAACTGCATCTTAAGTTGGGCCTTTCCCAAAGACACACGTTCTCCCCATCCTCTCTCCGTTTCTGACCCAGCCCTCCTGCCTCCAGAGCCAATATTGGTTAAGTCTCGTTGTAGCTTCACCTGCATCCCTCCATCCCAGCCCACCTGGCCCCTGTCACCCCACACCTTCAGCTCTGCCCGCCTGGATCAGTTTTCCCACACGCAGAACTCTCCGCCCCGCAGCCTCGGTGACCTCCCTTCCACGCTCCTGCTCCAACGTCCCGGGCGCTGGGCACAAACATCCTGCCCTCAACTGCCCTCTGCCCGCCTGGGCTCTGCTGGGAAGACGACGCTAAACTGCAGAAGCAAGAGAAGTCCAAGGCACTAAAATATCCAGCAAGCATACTGGGAGAACAGACAAGTATTCAAGTACATTAATTTATACAATTTTACATTCACATTTATTTATCTAATACAATGAAAATACAAAGGAAAAAGTTAAAGTGTCTCCAATAAGTATAAGGATATAGCTAGCTTTTTTTCCCATTTTTTCTTTTTAACTTTTTTAACCCTCTATATTCCACTCATTTTTAAACTACTGTTGTCCAACAACATTTATATAATCACAGTGTTTCCACATCAAAACTGATGGTAAGTACATGTCCGCAGGGAACTTTAAAAAATTTTTTAACAATTTAAATTGCTCTAATGCTGCAGTCAAAGCTGTTAATATCTTACTTAAAGCAGTAATGACCTATCAAGCACGGGCTGCACCACAAGTCCATTCGTGTGCCCCATCATTTCAGAGCCAGATGCTATTGACTGGGGAGAGGGAGAGGAGGGGAATTTGGACAGCTTTTTCTGGATCTTGGTTCTTCAGGAAGAGGCGAGAAGCATGCTAAAGCCTCATGCTAGGGTTCAGCTCTCCCACCTCCACACGTGTGGATTCAGCCTCCAACCAGAAATATTTAACAGCAAGACTGTATGAACTGACCCCCCTGGCTTCTGCTCACAGCTCTCGTTCCACACGAGAGCAGCCCCCCTCGTGAAAAGCACTGTCCCATCACAAGGATGCTGATCATCCTCCTCCCCCTTCCGAGTGTGTGGGGAAACTCCCGCTACAGAGAGTTGACAGCAATGGTTGCAAAAGAGAAATTCATTCCCAGTCTGGCAAGCTACCAGTTCATTGCAGCACTAGTAGTGATACAGGGCCCCATCTCCCTCCCCATGTCCTGTCCCGAGGTGTAGCCAGCAGGGTCTCTGGGCACGGCTAAGTGGTCCGCAGGTTGGAGCCTGGAGGGTTGCTGACAGACTTCTGCAAATTGCTGATGTTGAAGCTTTGCAAAGAGGTGGCCCCCACGGGCTGGAACTGGCCGAGCTGTGGCGGTGCTGGCCCCCCTGCCCCGCTCCAGGGCGGGGGGAAGGACGCTGCTGGGTAACCGTACTGCTGCGGGGGGCACATGGCCTTGCTGAAGGGACCTAAAGAGGTAGCTGATGCTGCAGGGATGGGTGTAGCACCCAGGGAAGATGTCATAGAGATACAGAGCTGACCTGGTGCCGAGAATTTTCTTGCCATTCCAGGGCCCTGAAAGGTAATCCAACAACCAAGAGAACTTTAACTGTGTGACTTTAAAAACCACCAGTCCACCCCTTGGCCTACAATCCGCTCCCAGTGGGTATTTACAGGGCCAGGCCATGACCCTCCCCTTTAGTTTTCCCCTTCCCTTCCAGAGCAGGCAGTACGCCCTCCACGTGAAGAGCCAGCCAGCAGTGCTCTAGAGCTGCTGCCCCAGCTGTGCTCTGGCTATGTTTGAAACCCCAGGGAGACAGAAGGACACCCAGCTTCTCACCACACCCCCTCACGGGTCACACCTCACCTCGTAGTTGCTGTGCCCTTTGCCAACTTTCTTGCCAGACAGGTTCATGGCGTCCCGAGCCCAGTTATCCACCAGCTTGTGCAGGTCATCTGTGAAGGTGCCCTTGCGGCTCGAGGCGATGGCCGTGGGCTGGCTCTGGGGAGCCTGGCTGTTCACTGCAGCCCCCACTGTGTTGGTGCTGCTGGTCCCTACAAACACAAACACAGCCATCACAGCCTGGCTCAGAGCTGACCTGCCTCTAGTGCATTCAGTAACTGTGGTAATGGCACACCAAGAGTTAAAATGCCATGCAAATTAATTCTGAGTTTCAATTCCAGGACACACTGAAGTGGGAACTGCAAGGACTCCTACAGGCATTTTCTCAGATTCAGGGTGTTTCACAGATAGGTTTACTTTGCAAGAAGTGCTGCAAGTGGTCATCCTAAGAGGGGAGTGGTAGCAGCCTACAGGTCTTTGTAGAACAAAAAGGACATTAGATTTCAGCACTGAGTGACAGCACAGGCATGTTGCTCTCTCATCCTACACCTTTTAATCAGCAGCAACCACCGCTGGTACAGGTCAATTCCATCTTGGAGGACAATGCTGGATGCTGAACAAGGAGCAGTAAAATCAGCATTGCCAGCTGCTCTGTAGCAAATTATCTCCACTTTGTGAAATGAAGAGAAAAATTCACCCAGTTTACCAAAATAAAAAAAAAAAAAAGAAAAAAAAAAAGAAAAAAAGGCCCCAGCCAGAAACAGCAACTGTTGTTTACCACAGCTGCCATACTTATGTTCTTGAGGATAACCAAATGGGACTGTCTTCATCCAACAAACAGCCAGGATCTGCAGGGAGGGTCTGCACTGCATTAAATTTTGCTTTTTGCCTCTAAAAGCATTTTTTTGCCATTATGTTCAGATTTCCTAAGTCAGAAGAATAAGCATTTGAGATACAAACAACTAATACAGCTTAAAGAAGGCAGAAGTGAGGGTATTCTTCAGACAAGCTGACAGGTCTCTCTTTTCACTGCAAGAACACAAAACCCCTTCACATAAATGCCAGGTTTCAGTTCTGCTAGAAAGCTTGCTGAACATTATCCTGTGCTGGGGAAATCAACCTAGAAGCTTTGTTTTGGATAGCCTTCCTATGCCACTCATATTTATAAACAAGCAACTGCACTCCAATCTAGGTTTTCCAAAGTCAGACCTCACAACACAAAGCAAAGAAGTCCTGCATTACCTAGGATCCTAAATTCCCAGCAGTACTGCAAAGTATCCTCATTTACAGCTGTGGAAGTGCCAGTTAACCACTAGAGCAGACCCAACAACAAAACCAGCATCAGCAGGGCTAAAGACAGCACTCCTTGCAAACACTCATCCTCACCTATTCCTGAAGTTCCTCAAATATTTCTACTTGCTCCCTCAGGAGACTGCACCTGGGAAATCCAGGAAAACTTGAGTTTATGGCAGGCATTTCTGAAGGGAAGCCATTTAGAGGTGGATCACAGAAATGCCAGCAATGAACATCACATCTCTCTTGCAAAGGCCAAATGACAGAATCCCCATCTCTTGCCTGGCAGTTCCTTCATCTGTCCCACTTTCCCTGGCCATCAGCCACATTCCTTGCCACCACTGTATCAAAGAAAGAACTGGTTCCAAAGCCCTGCAGGAATGTTTCGTACTGAGGAGTGGATTAGGAAGGTGACATACTTACTATGCAGGACAAATAAAGTGTTACTGCCTCTAGTAGTGCTGAGGAGGGAAGGACACAGATTGATCCCACCAGTTCCAGCTCAAGCATGGAAGTGGCTCCCGGGCTGGGTGACCACAGGAGTTGTTAGTGGGGGCAGACATGCAAGAACACACGGCAAGGGAAGAAAAAGGTTCCCTGAGCAGGGAGTGAGGCTGCAGCACTGATGGAGAGCAGCAGGGACACACTGGGTGGTGCAAGGAAAGTCTGCTGTGGAATAACAAGAACCTTAAGCATGCATCATGTGGGAAGGGCTCTGGGTACAATCGTTTAATAAGAGCAATGATGAGAAAAGTAAAGTTAAGTACAAATGAGGCAAAAGCAAGGGAGAGTTACTTGGGGGAGAGGGAACACTGCCAAAACCAGTAATAATCACATTCCACCATGAGGTTCATGCAGGAATTGACACACTTGCTCTCATCCTCTTCAGGATGGCCAGCATCCACTTGTGCTACTTCACATTTCCACTTGAATCACCAAGTACTCTGGATCCTACACTTACACCAGAGAGCCTCCTCAGGTTATGGAAGGGGGAGAGTTAATCAAGGCAGATACTACAGCACATTCAGCTGAAGAGATGAAAGATCCCTTAGGGGAGTTTAAGAGTTTTCCAAAGAATTAGATTGGTTCAAGGTGACAAAGGCTGTCAGAGCTTTGTCTCCTAAAGTGGCTTTGTCAGAGAGCTCCCATTTCAGGTCAAAGACATACTGGCCTACAGCATCAGAGCTGAGCTCTCACCTAAGGTCCATTTAAAACTGACTTCTCAGGAATTTTACATTTGAGCTCTGACACACTCACTGCCTGCAGAAACTGCCATCCAGAACAGGCTGAAAAGCAAGTGCTTCAACTTGTGGCATTCATGGAAACAACCCCCACATTCCTGCTCGGTCACAGCAGCCATCCCCAGTTCTGCTCTGACATGAGGGATCTGAAGTGAAACAGGCTCTCTCTCTCCAGCCCACTACCTATAATGTCTTAATTCTGCTCTTGGATTTTTTCCCCCCATAAACCACAGTCAAATGACACCTTTAAAACAGTCTTAAATGACATGTGCACACACAGGCTTTTCTGAACATCTCTGGCTTTGGGAGACACACTGGAGATCTCTGATGGCTTACTCTTAGGCTTTTAAAACGTTGGAGGAGTGTCTGCAATTGGATCCATCACTGAGGTGATAAACCCCATCAAATCCCAAACCAAGCAGCTGCTCTGAGTACAGCTCCAGCAGGTTACAATGAGCAACTGACCCTGATGTTGCTCTCATTAGCAAGAGCAGAGCTGCACAGGGAGGGGGAGGTTCTGCCTGCCTCCACCTGGCTGCTAGAGCAGCACCAGACTAGCCAATATCTAAGGACAGAGCACACATTAGAGGGCATAACACAGACAGACAGATGCTGTGCTGGAGACAGAGTCAGGGACATAAGGCTTCAATGACCAGGAAAAGCTGATGAATAGATTTACAATCAGGAATTGGAGATAACAGAAATAAGATAATTACTACAGAGCTGGTTGCAAGGACAGACTTTTTTCACCATCTTCCCTGAAGCACAAAGAGAGAGTAATTTGTTAAAGATAAGAGAAACAGTGAGAAATGTTTAGTATCAGGAAACATTACAAAAAGCTTGGTGAGAAACAGAGGACACAGCACAGCAGGGCTTTAACAGTCACTAATGGGACATTCTAGACAAACTCAAAGACTCGTCTAACAGTTTAATCACAAAGAGAAGATGCCCAGCCTCCTACATTTATTCTTCATAATTCCCAAACCATTGTGAAGAATGTCAGGAGACACTGAGGTCACAACTGCTATCAAACAGAAGGAACAGCAAGTACATCTTCCATTTTTGCCAGGACGTAGGAAGCATTTTACAACTATCAAATTTCAACCAGCAACAGATTTATTTGATAGGTCAGGTGCTTTTAGTTTGTCACCCTCTTTTCTCAGATGTGTGAAAACAGTTCAGACATTCCCTGCCAAGCTGTACCACTCTGTTTCTCCAGCTGCACAGTTAAAAGCATCAATCACTGCACTGTTTCCTCAACACCACTGATTCCAACCCAGTGTCTTCTCCAGCTGTCACTCTCCACAGCAGTCTGCAGCAGCACTTCAAGGACCAGGCTCCAGGAAGCAAGCAGCCTGCAGCAAGCCAGGTGCCAGGCCAAGCTGAGCCATGCCAAGCACTACCTGCTTTTACAGGACAGCTACAACACTCTTTCCAAAAGGAATCCGTTTCCCTTAGCATCAGTCCCAGAAGCAAGAGATACACAGGCCAAAGGACTCTTATAGCCAGATGATGGCCAATTTACAGCAAGCCTAGGCCTTGGAAGTAAATTATGCTCTCATATATTCATTTCAATGTCAATTCTAGAAACAGACTGGCTGTTCTTCATATTCCCTTCCACCAAAAAAGGACAGGCCAGACTAACAATTTTAAGTTAGCTTTGATATGAATTTAACTTCTTCCAAGAAAGGAACATTAAATCTGGATAGTGCAGACGTCAGTGCACATCTGCACATTAATATACAGAGCAAAAACACTTAAAGCTGCTAAATTTGAAAAATTAAATAATTTTAGTGCTTAGATCCCAAACCCAGTGAAGTGGGTTAGAGTTAGTGCACAACTGAACAGCCAGGAAGACGTTTCCCTCCCTTCCTTTCCCAGAGGATGGGGCTGGTTGCATTGCAGCTGTCTCTGCAGAAGGCCAGGCCCAGCTCCTGCACACAGCCCTGGCTCAGCTGAGCCCTGCCAAGCACAGCAAGACAGATGATGCAGATGTGTGGTACTGCCATGCAGTGCAGCGACAGCAGGGCTCCTGACAGCCCTCCAAACTTCCTCACATCGAGTCATTCCAGAGGGTAGGAAACAAATGTCACACATTTAAAGGGTCCAGCCTGCAGAAGCAGCATAGGAAATGTTGCAGCACTCCCAATAAAAAGCATCACACCAGCAGCCTTGGCTCAAGCATATTGTTATTTCAGCCACATCAGAAGTTTGAGGCTCTCTTGTAAGTCTGGCCTAATGTAAGTACAAATGAGAGGATTCTGAAAAGAGCTGCAAGCTAGCTTGTGAGGGCTGACAGGACATCTGGAAATGTCTATTTACCCACCTTTACTGCTACTTGTTTTACATTTAATGTATCTCCAATTCACAGGAAAAACTTCTAAACCTGAGCCCATTAGTAGTTAAGTTCTTTTGAGTTAGCCTGGAATTACTCTCTAATTATTTTAAACCCCTTTAACACTTCGATCTTTAGCTAGCCATCTGTTAATGAACACAAGTCGTCACTACAGGCTGCCTACAGGTGGCATCAAAGCTCTGCACTGTCACCAGCTTTGGTGCTGAGAGTGTGGGGACACACATCCAACTTGTGCTGCAAGCACACTGCCAGGGAGGGCAACACTCCCCCCACCACTACTGAAGTGTCCAGCTAAGGGATAACCTGGAAAAAAATTTTTCCTCACTCTTCTACTAGAAAGATTACCCCCCTGCAAGTCTCATGTCATCTAACATATGCTGAAGCAAAATTACCAAGGGGCCTTGCTAAGTCTCCCCAGTTTGTGTCATTTCACTGATCTGTCCTGAACGTTTCCTTTCAAGGTTTAGAGAAAATGAGTGCTTGTTACAGTGAGTTTAACAGCAGAGAACACCTAACACGAGAACCCAAACTTCTAAAGGTGTGCTAAGAGCAGCTGAGCCATGGGATGGGAGGGAATAGATGGGAGGGAATACAAGGTGATAGATGAGGATGGGCTGCATGAAACAGATCCAAGCAGCAGAAACAAAAACCAAAAAAGACAAAACAAAAAAACAGACAAGGAAGGAGTAAAGGTGTTACACACAAAGAGCCAAGCAGGGCGTACTCAGAAATCGGGTCCTCCTGCCACCAGGCTTGAAGGTCACTCTCTCAGATGCACAGTTAAACTTCGCACAGCCTGTGAGAAAACAAGAACAGGGAGAACAGAGAAAGGAGAGGAGAGGAGACAGAACACCACTACAAGATGTTAGCAACTTGAAGTTGGAAGGATGAAATGCAATCACAACACACAAGAATAAGTCTCAAAGTGTGGACCAAGGAGTACAGAGACAATATACGGAGTGAAGAGACTCCCTCCAGCACCTCCAGACATGAGGCCACTGCCACTCTCCAGGACATAAGCCAACTATAAAGTTGCAATCTATAGGAAAGCCAAATCCTGACAAAAGTACCCGATTTTTAAATGGTACTGCACAACTCTGGATGCAGGGAGATGATTCAAGAAGCTCCAAAATGCCTGAAACAGTTCCTAAAAGAGCTCTATAGAAAATTCTTCCTTAAAGTCTGTTTCCATTTTCTGTATGCACTTCTTCAGTTTTAGAACTGAAGAACATTAGAACTGACTTTCAAAAAGATGTGCAAAGGGAAAAAAGCCTACAACAGCTAAGTTCAGATAAGTAAAGGAATCATCCCCTAAAGACAAGCAAAAAAAGCCCTCCTTACTGAATAAATCAGAGCTGTGCCTGAGAATTTATTTGATAACATACTAATAACAAGCTACCCACTACTCGAGAAACCTGAGTACATGACCAATTTACTACTCCCACCATTTCATCCTCCTACACTGACTCTTCCTTCCAGGATAATTCACAATTGAAGAACATGAGCCTTTTTTTACCTTTTACTGTTAAAAACTCCATTGACAGAAACAGCCAAACCAGCTAGGAAGTCTAAAAGGACTAAGACTCCAAGTCTTTGGAAACTTCCAACCATTTCAGTTATCTGTTAATATCAAACCTGTTCTGCCCCTTCCTTGGTGTGATTTCCAACCCTCCAGTCTCAGTGCTCTCTTTCCCTCTGAGCCAACACCTTTCCCAGGTCAGCAGAACTTGGCTGCCACCACCCCACTGCACTCTCTTGTGCTGTCCTTGGGGTTTCAGACCTTCAACCACCTCACACTTCCCTGAGTGAGAAACTACAAACCTAGTTGCAAACAACATTCTTATCAGCCTCCATGCATAACCTGGGGACCCCAGAGCTACTTTACACCAGGTATTAAAAATCAAGTGTCACAAAGCCAACCCTTCATTTCCACTGCTAATTCCACTAACTGCATTTGGAGTCTTACCTTGGCCTGGCGCCGAAAGGCTCGGTACCGACAGGGCACCATCACTGGTGAAGGCAGAGTAGAGATTCTCACTGGAAGGTGAAGGTTTGAGGGGCTGTAACAAATGGTTCTGCCCAGTCTCTGGCACACTGCCAGGAGGATGAAGGGTCTGCTGAGGGGGCAAGACTGATGGTGCACTTTGAGCTGACAGGTTGCCTAGAGGAAAAAGGAAGGTAAAAATTTTGGTTTGCGTACATTTTTGAGCCTGACCAAGCACGACAATCCAGAGAAGGAGAGAAGGAGAGGCAGGGGGAGAGAACTACTCCAGTTTCTGAGAAAGCAATAAGACCAGAAAAATTCCTCAGTTTTAAGACAACTCTGTGGTGGTTTATGTGCTCACTGAGCTCCTCTATCACACAGCAGAACAGAAATGAGCAGCCAGGGTGAGTGGATACAGAAATCTCAGCATGACATGGAATTATCAAAGTGAATACACAAGAAGCAGTATCAAATATTTCTGCTGGCACTGCTGGCCCTCCAATACTGTTTGCTCCTGCTACAGGATTGGAGAATCTCCAATTACCCAGAAAGTATCTGTCATCAACGTCACTCAATCAGTAAACAGAACTAGTTCCTGAGTTCTGTTCATCAGAAAAATGGTCTTAGTAAGAAAGGAAGCCTTGACAATTGAAACTGATTCTCAATCTCTAAGTACAACAAATCTTCAATTCCATGAAAAAAAACCACTATTTTAATATCCATCAACTGTGGGTTTCTGCAGTGTAAGGACACCAGTAATAACACGCTTAAGTGGTATTAAATTAGGGAGAAAAAAAATCTCTGCAGATGACTAAAGAGACCAGACCCATTCTGCAAAATCAGTTTCAGGAGGGAACAAGCACAGTTTATCTTTAAAAAACAAACTTTTCTTCCATACTGTAAATTTACACTTTTCTTCCTAGTCAGAGCCCAATGACTAATATCTAAAAAACATAAACCACAACTTTAAAACTGCTCTAATAGAACAATGTCACAGGACTTTTCAGTGGACTGAAAAAGTTCCAAGCAAGACTACCAAAGAGCAAAAGTAATGTCAAAAATGATAAAAGAAATTCAGGGGGGAACTGGTACACACACACACACACTCCTCAAAAGAAAACAAAGAGAGACACAGCTCTAAGAATGAGAGATGGTACTTGGTCTATTTTATCTGCTAACAATATTGAAGGAAGCCTTACCTGATAGCTGAGGGCTTTTGTGTCCCTGGGAGCTGCTACGACTGGACTTGCTGCCTTTTCCTTTCGTAGGTCTTCTCCTTCTTCCTGAAAGGGGTGCAGCTGGGGGAATAATTACTGCAGGTGGAGCCTTTCCAAGTTTCACATAGAGTGACTCAATCTCCTGCTTCTGGCGGCTCTGCAGCTCCTGGATCTCTTTAAGGTGCCTAACAAGTTAGAAAACAGTGGGATTTACAAGAATTCAAGGTATACACATAGATACAAACAACTCCTCCCCTCCAGTCAACCCTGAGCTGCTTCTTTGGTCAAACTCTCAAACATTTAAGAAAGAAGTAAATAAATCTTTTCCACTAAATAATAACCACTGAACACACATGTCAGAACACTTGCCATTTTCCAGTGTGCTCTAGCCCTGGCTAGAATTCCAAAACTAAGTTTCCAACGTTGCAATCACAAAACCAGAGTAAACAGAAGTACAAAAAAAGCATTCAAATGCTACAGGAATAGCTAGATTACTCATTTTCTCAGACATATGGCCTTGGAGACTTCTACACCCTTACCGCCTTACAATTTGTTTCAGAGCAGTTGCATACACAGGATTTAAAACTGCCGCTACCCTAAAAAATAGTTCAACTTTCAGTATGAATAAATTAGTAGGTCACATTGCTTCACTTCTAAATTCTTGTCTGAGCCAACAAGGTCTCTTCAGGAAAAGAGCCATTAGAAATGCCAGAAATGCAGATCAGAAATGCAGAGACTTGTATGTCATTTTCAAACAACACTATGTTTTTCCCACTCACTCCAGTGATACGCCAAATCTTTCTTAGATCTACAGTCTTATCCACAGTGCAGCTGGCAATCTACATACAACAAGGTTACAGGGTAGAAAATTCAGCCCAACAAACATGTATATTCCTCTTTTGTTATAACTGTATACTGCTTTCCCACTAAAGAACCTTACTTCCCACATAAATGCTGACATTGACTCCTGATACTGAGCAAAGGCTAAGGTATGTACAGGTGAAATTCATATTAATCCTGTCACATCTATTCCATACACAACCACCCAAAGAAAAAGCCTTACTTCTCCCGCAACCGACGGAGTTCCAACTTCAAGTCTTCATCTTCAATATCCGACTCATTGTCACTGCTCATGTAGGAAGAGTTGAAGGAGTTGCTAAGGCTCTGAACAGGGAGGCTGATCTTCGATCCCAGGTGCTGGACAGAGTCTGGGCTCGCTGAGCCATCATCCAAATCCTTAGCCATTCCACTGAGAAAAGCGACCTCCGGATCAGAGGATGGACCATTCATGTGTGGGGACTGCCTCGACTCCAACTCTTTCTTCGGAGCTGCAGCTGAAGAAGCAACTTGTTCTAAGCCCACAGAGAGAGGAAGAGTCATTGGCTCTTTCTCAGCACAGCTGACCTCATCCCGAGCCTTCGACACGGAGAAGCGCCCCACTTGATCCGTCGCTGTCGTCACCTGGAAGCGCCCAACCTTGGTGGCCTGAGCAGCATCTCCCGGCAGTGGCAGCCCAGGAGCTGCCTCAGGAATGCCATCCACCACATCCAAGGAAGCAGCAGCCACGGCCCCACTCTTCCTGCTCTCAGCCTGCTTTACCAGCGTGCTCTCTGGGCTACTGCCAGAAAGGCTTGAAGAATCAGTGGAGGTGGTTTCAAATTGCACTGGCTTCGTGTCAGGTTTGTCACCCTCTTTTAGCACATCATCCACTGCCACCGATACCTATAATAGAAACACAATCATGCAGACTTCCTTAGTTTTTCCTTAACATGATGCTTTTATTTCCCTTAATGGTAAGATGCATCTGAGAGGGGAAAATAACTCATTTCCTAGGTATGCCACAAAGCAAGCCACTGCTTTCCTCCAGGCAAAACACTGCCACACAAAGCAGCACTTGTCGTAATCTAGAGGATTAACTCCAAGAAACAGCAGCCTCAGATGGGGCTCCTTCACCAACAGGACGTAATACAGTGAACATCCCAGCCCTGTTAGTGAAAGAGCAGCCCAACATTAAGGACCAAGGCCAACAGCTAAGCCTGCTGTGATGAAACCCTATGTTCACAACTCTAGACCTGCACAGACTGTGCCATCTCTGCCCTGAATGGAAACAGCATCTGCAGACCTGCTATCACAAGCTCTGCATGGACAGCAAAGTCCTGCACATGGCACGCTGAGCTGGCACTACCAGGAACCACCCCAAGATGCTGCACCAGAGCCAAGTGAGTTTAGCAGCTGGTACCTGAAACCGTCCCATCTTCAGCACACTGGCTCCTGCTGCAGCAGCCACAGCTCCGCTGTCTCCATCACCTACTGCCAAAACTATGGAAAAGGAGAATGGGGTTAAGACAACAATGAAAGAAATTATTTCAACTCCAACCATTTCTTTTTATGCACTTCAAATTCAACTATCTGTTAACACCAAAGAGGCTTCTAGACTCATAGCACCATATTCATATTAAAATGTTAATTATTAATGTCAAGTTGAAGCATTTTTCTACAAAGCTTCCCTGCACAGTGTATTTGCCAAAATTACACTTCTAGGCAACAAAAAAAGCACACTCATTTCAGAGAGGTGAAATAAACAAATAATAAAAAATAGAGGTTTACGAAAGAAAAAGCTTATTTTGATTCAATACCCAGAGTGACTATCTAAATTTCACAAACACTGGGGACAACTATTGACCAAAAAGGGGCAAGCTGAAGAAATGCTATAAACCACATTTACTCAAAGCAGTCTATCTGAAGTTCTCCAGGTTGGACTCTTAGGTGTCAGCTCCTAATTTTGTTGCTGTGTGCACTGGCAGTATAAAGTTACAAAGCTGCGAAATAACATTCTATTTTTAAATCAGTTCTATTGGACAGCTTGCACTGTTTATTAAGCAACTTCCCAGTTTGGTTACCTTTATCTTCTAAATTTAAAAGACAAAACCCAACTAATTCTAGCAGAATAATGAATTCTACATTATAGTTCACCAATGTCCCAAAACGAGAGTATATAATTTATTTTCCTTCACGGTTTCATTGGCTTCTGAAGGTTTGCTATTCAACTTCAGAGGCACACACATGTTAAATAGTGTTTACTAGACAACTCAAGAAAAAATTTCAGCACTGTATGAACAACTTCTATTAAAACAAGAAGATTTTAAAAATTAAAACCATTAAGATGAATACTGATAGGAAAATCTCAGATTATTTTGCAAGTGTTTGGATTCCCCCCAGTGAATCAATCCATACAGATATGAAAGTCATTGATCATCCAGACTTTAACTGGTGATCATCCAGTCAACCTTCAGTTGCTCTAAAGCAGAAAGAAGCAAGTCTGGGTTTCTTACTACCTTTCTTAAATTTTTAGTAGTTTAACCTTGGCTTCTCTGCTCAAACAGAAATGAAACACCCTTAGGGCAAGGGAGAGGTATCCTACATGTAGAACACAGTGTAATGACACAAAATGGGCCCTACTGTTGTTGCCAGGAACATAACACATGATAGAAAACAGTTCCTTCTAGTCCTGATGCTGTACCTCAGCAGCATAGTGGAGATTCTTTTTGAGTCTTAATTTAGCATTTTGGACAGCTTTAAATCCTAAATGAGTCACTACAATATGTAAGTATCTATGATTTCCCCCCTCCTCATGGCCTACAGGGGAAAATTTCAGTCTGGCTACTAAAAACTAATAAGATGCCCTCAAGGAGCTGCCATTCCATGACTTGGTAGAAAAGGCTATAACCTTCCAAGTGGTTACTCTGTTCAATTTTGATTTCTATCTCCATGCTGAGAAATCACCCAAAGTAATCCCAGCTGTCTTACCATCCTTCAGACACTGTGTTGCTGTGGACACCGGCCCAGTAACCACTGTTGATGCTACTGAGGGCACAGACTGCAGGTTCAAGGAGGAAAACAAAATAAATTAAAATACTTAGTAGTTTCATTGAATGCCAACAAATCCAGCATACTGCATATTACATAATTTTTTTGCTTCCAACAGGGACCAAGTATGATACATGAAAAGACAAATGCAAGACAAGAGATTTTACAGGCCTTATAACCCTGAGGCTGTGAGCAGATCACCCCTTAGCCTGTGCAGAAATAATGCATAAATAACCACTTGTATTGTCAGTCATTGTCTGCAGTCAGTATCCAAAGCTCTTTAACAGAGGCTTTTAAAATTTCAGATCCACACTTGAACCAGCCCTCCCAAATTAAGACTGACATATCACATATTGCTTTTTTAGTGCTCTTTACCCTTATTCCACAGTCACTTCCATTTCCAGTTTGGTGACATCACCAGAAAAGTTGGAATAACAACTAATACCAAAAAACAGCCTCAGGAAATTACCTAATCTATTGCAATATACAGACTTTCCCGATTTTGGTTGACTCAGTCCCACAAACTGGAAGATGACTCTGAATTTTTATTTTTAAAAGTCTAAATACTGGTGTAGTGGTATTAAAGGCAGTGACCTAAGAGTATGACTTTTAAAAAACACTGAGGTTTTTCAAGACTACTAAACTGCCAACATTGCAAACATACACAGGCAGGGGCAGATGTCACTGGGACGGTCTCTGGGCTAAGGGTTCTCCTCAGCTGAGCATCCAGATCTTCCAGTGGCTGTTGGGACTGAGAAAAAAAAAAAGAGTAAAACAATGTCCCAGCTCAGGAAAAACAAAAGCATTTGTTGAGAAACAGACATATTCAATATTAAAATTTAAAGCACTCAGTACAGCTTCCATATTTCTAACAAGCTTCCTTCCTACACATTTAGATTTAACATGTATAGTACAGTAAGACCTAGAAGTAACTCATGCAACATACTTGTTTAAAAACAACAGAACAGGAAAATTAATTGGAACTTAAAAAAAAAAAAAAGAGAAAAAAACACAATATCACTCAAACCCAATCAATCACAAAAAATCCACCAACCCACAAGTTCCCTCAGAGAGGCTACATAGATGGATTGACTTGAGAAGAATGGAAAGGGGCAGAATCTCTCAAGTATGCTTATTACTTGGATTTCAGCTGTTTCAGTTAGAATATAAGATGTTTTTCAAACTTGGCCAGCTGGATTGGGGAGAGGAAGAGAAGAACATTTTACCTAAAAATATCTTGAAGATAAAGAAAGTCCCAAAATGACTAAATTAGGGCCATGTCCATAAGATACATTGAAAGAAGAATGTATTGTCAGATATCACTAAGCTGCAATTCTGACCCTACAGAAGAGAAATCTTCATCCAAACTTTAGCACTATTAATCTCTCCAAGTACAAAAAAAGAAGCTGTATCTGTTTTTAAAACTGAAGTGGGGATCATGACAACATAAAAATACTACTTTCCACTGAAAGTCAGAGGTACATAATAGCATAAAGATGCTTTCAAAAGGTTGCCAGGATAACATTCTTCCTGACACGTGGATTTCACAATAAAACCAAAAACCCTAGGAACAATAAAACCTGTATCAATTCCATTATAGAAAAAAAAGCAGAAGATGCAGACTCGTATGACTCCATTCAGAAATCCAACTGGTTAATGACAAGTGAGGCAATTTAATCCAACACTGTAAAACAGAGGGGACATGTCACGTGAAATACTAAATAATTCTCATTACTTATGCTCACAAGAAGATATTTGCTTCAATTAAACAAATGGCTACCACGATGATCAGGAAATAAAGATTTCCTTATGGAACAAGGGGACAAAAATGAAACTTGAGATTAATCTAAACACACTTTAAAAAGCAATTAAAGAATAAACAGAACAGGTATTTAAGACTATAGAACAGACTGTTCAAAACTGGTCTTGACATGACATGTGCTCTGTCTGCAAATTACAAGTCTGCTACTAAGGAAAGGGGAAAAGTTGTGTAATCACCTGCTAGTGACAGAAGCAGCACAGAAGGCAAGCCTGTCTACTTTAAGACAAGCCAGTAATTTTCCAGATAGTATTATGTGATAGCAGCAAATGCTCTTAAGAGTCAATTAGATTTGATCCAGTTGGTCTCCTCCAATTTTGTTTCATTCCTAGACAATCCTTCTGAGTTCAAATGAGAAGTGAAATTCAGTAAGTTGTTTCCAAAGGACAAGAAGCAAGGGACCTATATTTGTGACTCTTCCATGCTACAAATCCTGCCAGAAATACCCATGACAAACAGGAAGCAGCCTTTTGCAGTGGTACAGTGGCTTGAGTCATAGAAGTGGCTACAAGTGCTTCTGAGCTCAGGGGAAAATACTACTAATATACTGAGTTTCCAGCAATGAAAAGGGCTATGAATTCCATATGACTGCTTTTAAACTAGCTGTCTCCTGATCCATCTGATAGCTGGTCATGGGAAGAATGCAGGTAAGAGTTATCACCAAATTGCTGTCGTCTTCTCTTCAGTGAAAGCATGGTTCAGAAAGAACTGACTAAAAGAGACAAACCAGCTTCTGCCTCCGAAATCAGGGGAAAAAAACAAGCGGTTTTTTCTTGCTCAGTTTGGAGAAAGGAGACACCCATCTCCTTGCTAGTCACAGGGCAGGAATATGGCCTATGGCTCTAAGATCAAGACGTAAAAGCGAGCTACCTTTAGAAAATATTTCAGATGAAGAAGCCTTTTTCTTCCAATTTCAGATGTCATCTGCCTTAGTTGTACAAACCACACAGAACCACAGACTGGGTCAGGCTGGAAGGGACCACAGTGGTCACCTGCTCCCACCTCCCTGCTCAAGCAGGGCCATCCCAGGCACAGCACTGCATCCAGCTGGTTCCTGGCCATCTCCAAAAAAGGAGACTCCACACCCTCTCTGGACACTCTGACCAGGGCTTGGTCACCTGCAGAGGAAAGAAGTTCTTCCTCATGTTCAGGTGGAACTTCTGTGCATCAGTTTCTGCCCAGGGCCTCTTGTTCTATTGCTCGGCATCACAATTTACACACAAAATATCCCAGCTAACCATGGTATACAAGGACAGAAGCTAAGCAGGGGAAGACACTGCTGCATTTCAAGTCATGTTTATGATAAAGAGTTCAAAGTTTTGAAAATCTTAAAGCCTAGTGAAATCAGAATGCAGTAATAATTACAAAATGAACAAAACAAAAAACAAAAATCATCACAAGAAACAACTAAATCCCAAAACCTCATGAGGAATTCACAAAGGCAATTTTACATTCTCATAAACATTTCACGGCAATATATGGCTTTCCATATTATTTTGCTACTATACTCTTTTCAAGAAGAAAACAGGTTCAAGTTTTATGCACACACTTCACTGCATTATATTTTTCAAAAAAATATTTCAAGTTCAGATTAACACACTAAAACCCCTAAGCCTGATTAGGCACTGGGTACAGCACCCCGAAGGGCAAGCTGCACAGAACCACAGAATGGTTTGTTGGAAGGGACTTAAAAGATCATCCAGTTCCAATGCCCTGCCATGGGCAGGGACACCTTCCACTAGACCAGGTCACTCACACCCAGTGCTGAAGCCACTCAGGCTACTGCTACAGTTACACAAGAGGGGTTACTCAGTCAAAAGAAAAGAAAACCAAGAACATTAATAACATGCAACAGAGAGTTTAATTGAAACATGCTCTCTGAAGGGAAAAGAAGCAGATAAAATCTGCCACATTGTGTAGCACCTGAGTTAGTGAAGGTCCTGGAAAAGGAGGCAGCTGCTCACTGGATGGAGTGCCAGCCGGAAGGTCAGAACCTATTGGTAGCACCTATGGATAATGAAGAGGAAACGCGCGTCCGTCAGACATGGAACAACAGAAGGATCAGATACCAAGCTACAGTCAGTCATGTCATACAACAGAAGCCTTAACTTTTTTTTTGTGTAGAGAATTCCTTCCTGGACAGTTAACATAAGGGACTTTTGCAACCAAACTGGGGCAAGTTTGCTTTGTTTTTATTTTATAATCCAGATTATCCTTGAGCAGCCACAATTTACAGTTTAAACAAGCTGTAGTATCCAAGAACAAAGTATCTTGGGGATATTATTTTCAAGTCTGGAAGAAATGCTAAAATAATTCTTTCAAGAAGCTTAATTTCTAAAATGGTGCAAGAATGTACTCAGTCTCCTTACAACAGATCTATGTTAACTGTCCATTAGAAACTGCAAGCTACGTGCTTCCAGCAAATTGTTCCAAGCAGCATGACTTGAGAACAGGAACTGTCAGTGCCTGAGGATGTCTCTGCTTGTTGAGAAACAGATTTGTAGAGCTCTCACACCAATGTTTTCATCCATCACTTCTTTTTGAGCCTGAAAAGTGTTGATGACCCACAGAAGGTGATTAGGCCATGCAACTGGGTAGGGGGAAGTCATCCAGGTTATGTGGAGGAGGTTAGAGAGACCCGAAAGGTTAGAAGGAGGCATCAAACCTCCTCACCAGGTCAGACAGCACATTCCAGTTAGTCATTTCCATTGTTAGGGAAGTGGGAAGTTCTAGGAATTAAGCAACCCATTACACAATTTGCAATTCTTATTCTCAGCTGTCATCTTGAGGTTTGACAGTGCCCATGAAGTCTGAGCACACACACAGCCTCGTGAGTTACAGCTGGCCAGCGCCCTGCCCCTGTACGGCCGTGAGCCCCGCAGGACAGGGGACAGGCCAGTCTGCTCCAGAACCTGTTCTGGCCTGCAGTGTGTCACCACAGCTCAAAGTAATGCTTTAAATTGCAGGAGTAGCTGCCCAGTGAAGATGCTCTCCCAGAATTATCTATCTTGCCAATAACATTACAGCAGGAACTAGGCCGAGTTGCATTAGCTCAACTTTTCTGTGCAGCAGGAACACGTGTGAGGATGTTACCTGTTCTGAGGCATGATGAATTTTTAAGCTATGGTAACTTCATCATTTAGTTTATAAATAAGAGGCAAAACATACTTTAAATGCATTTGTAAGACAAGCTGAAGCAGATTTAACTGTCTGGCCATAAACAACATAAATATACAGACACAGAGTCTAGCAAGCCCCAGAAGACTCAAGCAATAAGCTCCTTAATGCTAAGCAACAACAAAAAGTGAAACAAAATTAAGCTTTTAAAATTTATAAATGAAAACTTCAGAGAGGAGGTGGGATTTCTACAACTGAGAATCAAAAACCCTATAATATTTATTACATTTAAACCCAAGTCTTTGTAATTACAGGTTTGCAATTAGCAATTTTCTAATTGCTCCGACTGCTCCTGAATGAATACCAGTTCCCATTTTTTTTCCCAATATTTCTTTTCTGATTTTCAGTTTCATTGAAATATTAATGGATGTCTTTGTGTCTAGATTTCCTTATCAACTTTTCTGGCACATATTCCCACTCTTCCAAAGCAGAGATTTTCTACTGTCTTTGACAACAAAGAGTACATGGGAAAAACTACTAATGAATGGAGATGCTGGGAGCATTGGCTCAGCCTGAATTGGCCTGAAACTGGTTAATAGCAAAGCTGGCTAAAGAAAACCAACACCAAGTGTTGATGAGTACAAAAAAAAAAAACATTACAGAAACAAAAAGTAGTGAGTATTAAAGTTTTTTGTTTGTTAAATACCTGAAAGTTTCTTCAATTTATTTCCATTGAAGGGCTACCTTTCCATTTAGGGAAAGGACTAACAAAATAGTTTAAAATACTGAAATGTGCTGTGTCCCCACACAGGCAGACATTTAAAGGAAAATTTCACATATTGGTATATCTGGCTGGTGAGAGGTAACAACATCCACAGCACCTCTCAAGTTGTTACAGTGAGTAATTTCTTTGTGAAAAAGTGTTTTGCTTGTAGAACATGAGTCAGTAAACAAAAAAAAAAGGTTTGTTTTCAGGCGTCTTCTAAATTTCTCAAAATCCCACTCTCATAAATCTAACATTTGAAAGGAAAGCAGTATCCAGGAATCAAATAAGTAGCAGAGAACTTAAAAAAACCCAAACCCTTTCAGTCAGGTTCACCCTTGACTGCAAGGAACAGGTTCATGACAGGAAGCAAAATTCCACTACCTCAAATCCACCACTTGGTGAAATATACAACCAACCATCTCAGCCTAGTGGCCAAGTACCTCAAGTGGTCAAGATAAAAAGCTATTTAAAGCAAGACATCCAAATTCTATTTGAAAAAAATCAGTATCAAGAAAAAACCCCAAACAAACACAAAAAGCAAACCACAGCTGCTTCATTCTTTGTAGTTTAAGAAGAAAAACTAACAGTGACATAAGAGACACCTCTCAGAAGCATAAAACAGAATTGGACTTTTTTTTGCCCACTGGGGGACAAGATACAACATCTCTTGGGACACATAAAAACAACCAGAGCATAAACCTTTCAATACTACACTAAATGAAGCAACTTCTTCCTGAATAAATATTTTTCTGTACAAAGAGGAAAACCCAAGAAGGCTGTTTCCTGCAAGAGATGAACATGGACACTGATGCTGTGTTCCTTACCGGTACCCTGCTGAGAGGGGGCTTGGAAGGAGAGGTCCCTGCTTTCACTGCTGCTGTGGCCGCGCTGCTCGAGGCCGAGATGTAGCTGACCGGGGTGATCACTTGCCCAGGAGTGGCAACTGGAGTCAGCACTGGCAAGCCAGTTGGTCCAAGAGGCAAACTGCTTGGAGGTATACAAGTGCTAATGGATGTCAGGGGTTTGCTTGGTGCAACAGCAGTGGTTGGGATGCCAGGAACAACTGTGGTTTCCATTACCAGCGAGGTCTCCAGAGACACTGATGGGTGCACCGTTCCCACGTTACTGTGCTCGCTGAAGAGAGATCGCAGCTTTTCTTCCAGGGTCTTTATATCATCAATACCAGGGGCTTTAGACTGAGCATCGGCATCAGCCTCCAGACAGTGAACATGAGGCTGGTTGGGCAATGGAGCTGGTTGAGGCTGGCTGTGGATCAAAGTCTGCTGTACTGCAGGCAAGTTAGTGACTGGTTGTGGCAAGACACCAGGTAAGGGAACCTGGGGCAACATGGGTGTTGCACCTGAAATCTGGGGTAGGACAGGCGTTGATGTAATTCCCGATGGAACAAGTAAGGGATGGATCACTGGCTGAGAGACTGAACCACATATGCTTGATGCTATTGAGGATGATAAAGGTGCACAGATTGGCAGAGATAAGCCAGCTGCATTGCAGGAATGCGATTTATCCAGAGAGTGCCCACTCTCAGGTAGTGACTGTGGAGCGCTTACGACTGTTGTTTCTGCCAGACTGGACACAGAGCCACTGCTGCTGAGCTGGGGAAGCTGCAAAGCCACGTTCTGAGCCAGAGACAGGGCAGCAGACGTCTGTGCTGCTGCCATGCTACTCACAGTCTGAGGAGAAGACTGAGATGTCACAGCTGGTGCGGCAGCACCGAGAGCAGTGACACCAGGAACGTGGGCAGATGGCAGTGCTGAAGATGATGGTGTGCTGACACTGGCAGCAATGTCTGCAGTCACTGGTTGAGCAGGCTGGGACGTGGCAGATAAGGAGAAAGAAGCAGGGGCGCTCACGCTGGAAGTGACACCGGTCGACTGCTGCCCAGATTGTGAGGCTGGAGGTGGAGAAATAGAGCTTGGCACACTTGTGCTTGGTGCAGCCCCAACAGCTGCATTTTCTGAAGGCAAAGTAACAGATCCTGGAAGAGACACACCAGTGCTGGAGGAAACAGATACTGAAGAAGTAGCCACAGATGCAGGAGTTGCACCACTGCCCGCCATGGTAGAAAGCGCAGGTGGAAATGGTGGCATTGTTTGATTGAACACTGGAGGAGCTGTGCTAGGTCCTTCTGTCATCTGAGCATGCCCCATCTCAGAGAAAGCTTGCTGCAAGCTCAGTGAAGATGCTGAGTGGGAGAGATTCATTCCAGGACCATGTACAGGAGATGCTGCAACTGGAAGAAAAGGAAATGATCAGTCCACCTGAAAAAGTTCATTACAGTATTACTGTCTATGGCTAGAGTAAGACCACATTTACTTCTTAGCATCAAAAAAACCCCAACAAACCAAACAAAAAACCCCCCACCAAAACAACAAAACACACAAACCCAGGCTTATATTAAAATACAGAATTAAGGTTTCAGAGTCTTGCAGACAGCTCATCAGCAGTTTTCCTCCAAGAATCCTTCATGGTGTGACCCAAATTATGGTCACCTCTTAGCAGCACAGACAGTTCCCTACTTCCCCACATACCTTGAGAGATCTTCAGGAACAGTTAACTACACAGTTTTGATGAACATGTCTTAGGCATCAGCTTGTAAGAGTTTGGAGAACTCACCCATATCTGAAGTTTCGTTTCCTCCAACGGCAGATGTGAAAAAGCCCTGTTCTTTCAATCGGTTCTCGGGGACGGGGCTGACAATGAACCGTCTTCCAGCAGAATGAACAACCTGGGTAAAGGAGCTAGAGGGAACCCCTAAACAAAAAGAAGGTGGATGTTTAGTAACACAAGGTTGCAACTAAGCACATAACCTGCAATATGGAATGTGCACTCCATCATACAAAATAAAAAACTTGGCTGCACCCATCCGCTGAAACAGAAAAAGGTAACTGTTGAAAAAAATCACAAAAGACTTACCTATTCTTTGTGGCATGGAAGATGTAGGATCTGGCTGTTTGAACTCTAATTTCTGTAAAGTAAGATAAAATTTAAACTTCTATTCTGAAACAGAAACCCACAAGATAGTTCTTAAAATGCTAGCTTACTGAAATGTGGGCATTTAAGGGAAGCAGTACGTGGGACCCAAGCACCATCACCAAACTAGAGGAATTCTGCCCAGATAAATGTCAGCTACAGTGTTTTTAGAGACTCTCAGCTTAGTGACTGTCAATGTAACAACTTGATCTGAAAATTCTTTTGGAAATCCAACTGATTTCCTTAAACATCCAACAAATAAATGTATGTTTCAAACTAGTGTGTAATTAAGGCAGAGATTCAGGCAATGTAACTATTTTCAGCACCCAGCAAACAGTTTCAAAACCTGTGTTTCCTAACCGAGCCATCCACTCTCTTAGTACTTCACTGGGTGGAGGGCCTGAGACCAGGCTCTCAGTGTTTAGTGAAAACAGCACAAGGTTGGGGTTTTACTGTCCTACCTCACAATAATCTCAAATTCAAGAAGCATCAGCATTTAAGACTGTCTGTTTAGTGGAGTGTTAGGAGATTCAGCAGCTTCGGAAGTCTTCAAACACATCAAAAAGTAAGAGGTCTGTTATTTAGCTTTCTAACTTAATTTTATCCTATCACTCTGATATGAAGCTTTTTCTTTTTGTCTTTTAATTACTGATCTTTGGTATTTCTCATGACAGGAAGTTTCTATTTCTAGCTAGCTCTACTCACAAAACCATACCACCCAAAATGGAAGATACCAAGAGCTGAGGCAGTCTGTCCTTCACATACCTGTGACCCCGGGAAGAAGCCGTCATCTTTTGTCCGCATACTCTCCAGCCCCTGATCCCCTTCTGGCTCCACGCTTGCATCCTCACTGAGCATTTCATCTGCTTTCTCAATAATCTCTCGTACCTGTTCTACAAATGAGTCTCGCTCTGTTGCTAAAATAAACTCATTCTGCACCTGTAAAAGAACAAAGGAACATTCATTTTGCACAAGCAATTTCAAAACAATATACTGAATGACCACAATTTACTCTTGGTGCTGATGTCTGTCTTCCCTTTGCTGTTCTTCTGAACAAGATGAAAGTGGTGACACCATAGAGAAAAACAACTGTTTCTAAAATTATCTTCAGCACAGAAGTGTGTGCCCTGGTTTAATCTTTGCTGTGGAGAACATTCAACCTCACTTCTTCATCAACTGTCACCTCAATCTTTGCTTACCACAGGGAAATTTAAAATTAGCAGTCTTATCTTACTGCAATTCCTCCTGTCTAATGAATGCAATGTGCTTTAAGAGACACATTTAAAGAGAACTATAATACAATAAAATTGAAAATTCTGTATTGCAAGATGCCTTCTGTGCTTCTCTTTCCATGCCATATACAACTTCTCTATGCAGGTTGCACATCACTGATTTAAAGTCTGGCTGTGGTACATAAAAGCCAGAATGAATTTTGTTCCAAATACAGCCTGTCTAGTTCCAATACATTGTATTGCTTTATGAAAATAACTTCTCTTGCTTATGTTAGATAAAACTGGTTTAAACAAGTATACTTGGTAGTTAGAAAGACCAAATCATATTCTTGATTTGGTCTAACACGTGAGAGTATTCTGTCTCCTGAAATTATGCATGGAAAAACTCACAGAGACAGTCCATGAAACAGAAGTAAAGCTGTCAGTCACAGAGTGTCTGCTGGAAAAGAGAAATAAAGTGCCTTAGAGGAAAAGCCTGAGACACTGCTTTTACATCAAATTCCTGGGATGCTGGTTCAAGAAAAGGAAAGGTAGGCATAATGTGCTTGTATCAGCCTCTGCAATGCGGGATACTAGTTAAAGAAATCTTCAGTGCTTTCAGTTTAGGACCAACAAGCAACTATATGGGGTATGTCTAACAGTATCATGATTAGAAAGAAACAAAGTCTTGCATCTAAAGTTTGCTCAGCATTCAGCAAGGAACCAATGAGCACCATGCTCCAGACTGAGATGTTTAAATTAGGTTGCACACTTTTAACTGTGTGACTGCATTTTGAATGCAAAGTTCACATATTTTGCTTCTACTCATCTTCAAATATTTATGGGTTTTGTTGCTTGTGTCTTAGTTTTGGTTTTGCTTGTTTAGTTTTCATAAATCAAACATACTCTTATTTCTTCATAGGATCACTTTAGGTTTAAGGTGAAGAAAGACATCTGTGTACTCTCCTTATTTCCTGGCACACGACCTCATGTTATTGACTGTGCTAATATATGTATTTAGGCAAGAACCAACTTCTCCCTCTTCCTCAGAAAGCCATTAGTGGTAGAGAATTCCTTCCATATCACTGGTTTGGGTCCTTTTGAAAAGTACAAATCCAGCACACACCAATTCAGACTCTGCCACCTCTCTAAGCAAAAGATAAGCACTGCACAGGTGCCCAAAGAAGCTCTCAAAAGATACTGTGTTTTGTCACCCCCCATCCCAGCTTCAGTAGCATTAAAACTATCTCAGGCTCATTTAGACTGTACCAGATAAAAATAAGAGTTTAAATTAAAAAAAAAAAGAAATAGGGATTCCATTCTATGCTACTCAATACTTTTATTTAAATGTATCTCTATAGGAAAAATTCTTTCCTGTGCCTGGGCATCATACATTGAATGGAGAAGCTTTTTCTTTTGATAAAAATCAAGAGCAGCATAAGTCACTATGTACTTTCAAAAAGCAAAATACAATTCCCCTTTCTTAATTTAAAAGGAAATCTTCCCATTTTAATTGACAACAGTAAAATGCTTGAAGATGTAGCAATGCCTGCTCTTAGAAAAGCAAATAGAATTTTTTTAACCTGGCAATACCAGAAGGTTGCTTGCAGTTTTGAAAAAAAAACCAAAAAAACAAAAAAACAAACCAACCAAAAAAACAGAAGCAGTCTTTTCACTTGATAAAAACCTCAATTCTAAGGTAAAAACTGACACAAATTTTCATGTGACTTGTGCATGCAACATTAATTAATAACCAGACTCTAAACCACTCTTGTGCCGAATTTCTATCTGTGGTTGCGTACCAATAAGGTGAACACACACCATGCAACATGGGAGACCAATTCCAAACCATAAACAAAAAAATAAAACTGACTCGAGTCTCCATCTCTAAAATATATCTTACCATAATTGTAGCTATTTCCTCAGGGTTATCACCATCCAAATCAAATTTGAAAGTAACCATTTTCCGATTGTGTGTCTCCAGCTGGCATTCCACTACCCGATCACCTTTGTTGGAAACCTAAAGCAAAGGAAATAATGCTTCAAACCAAAAGCACAAGAATGTAAGTTCACTGAGATTTTAAAGTTCACTGAGAAAAACTAACAGTACTGGTATAATACAAACATGTTCCATCTTTCCAGTTTAATAAATGGTGCCATGTAGAGCATGATTTTCGTCTGAGGATACATCAAATATTCTGGAATAGTCTGTGTAACCATTGGTAGCCTAGCAAGTCAGTTTTACCATGTAATGCTCCAAAAAGCTCTTCATAGATGACATTTGGAATGCTAGTAGAGGCTTAAAAATGCATCATTACTACTGAACTGTACCTAAAATAAAAAATACTCACGTTTAGAATTCTCAGTTTTGGCCTAGAAGTCTTCTCATGGCGAGAGCGGCTGCGGACAGACCTCCGCATGTGACGCTTCGTTGTCCTCCCCTCGTGCCTTCCACTCGAAGCTGGAAGATTCTCGTTGCCATCACTCAATCCTGAAGCAACATCAGAATGTGCACTAGAAACAAAAGGCAACTTCCTGTTAGCTTCCATGCATTCCATAACTGCAACTATACTCTAACCAGCCACATGGTATTCTGTTCTGGGAAGTGGCAGATGTGTGTTAATCAAGTAGAGGGAAAGAGCCCTGTCAACACTTCAGGTTGCTTAAATAGAAATTCTAACTGTAATTATTTTGCTACACCTCTTGAAAGCTGAGATGTACAAATCTATCTTGTGTTTTCAAGCTATTTGAAGTTTGAATTCTGCTTAAGTGCCAAAAGGATAAGAAACCTGTCACTTATGATCCATTAGACATGACAAATAAAAAAGTTAATCACTATACACAACCTTACTTATTCCCTCCATAAAATACTCCACATAGCATGCTCTACCCTTCTGATCCTGTTTTCCCTCTAGGAACTTTAGTTACTCTCATCCTCAAGAACACTCCCAGTGAAAAGAAAAATACTCCTGGTAAAAAAATATATCTAAAGATTATCCATGGAAGATAATCTAACACATAACATTGAAACTCAGTTTGGGGAAAACAAACAGTGCTCACCTATCCATAGAAGATGCCAAAGGGGTAGACTGAGCAGGCTGTGTTGCTGGAAGAGTCTCTGAAGCGGTCTGTGAGACACCCTGAGTACCCTATGGATAGAAACCTACAATCAAGAACCCCCCGCAAAGAGTACAGTTCCTCTTCAAGCAACCCAGTAGTCTTCAGTGTTTCCTCCCAAACCAGTTGTAAAGCTGAAAGCTCTGCCTTTTTAGAAGTTTAAACAGCTGGCATCTAGGACAGCTTTAGTTTACAAAATACTCTAGAGCAAACTGCAGTGAAGCAAAATGTCATCTGAGGAGGGGTGAGGAGAGGAAACCAGCCACACATCCTTTCTACTACCACATGTCACTACAGCTAGCCATGCAGTCACAGTTTTACTAACAGAATGTGCAAAAGGCAAGCCAATGCAGAACACAGAGACAATTCCAATTCTCCCTGCAAGAACCACGTTGTGGGGAATAGGCATAATGACAGATTCTCAAAGGCTATTGACTGCAGCTTGTCTTTGATATGGCAAAAATGTTCTACAGTACTAGCAAGAAGTGAAGTGTTTTACTGCTTTTTGCCTGCAGGATGCACACTCACTTCCCAACAGAACAACCAGTGGCAACAAGGTCCCCACATTGGCATGACATTCTGCTGTAAGAAAAAGGTAATTTGAAATATTAACTTCCAACTGAAGACAAGCACAGAAGGGATTAGTTCCCCACAGAGTTACACTGTTGCAGGAGTCAAACACCCAAAATCTATTGTTACATTATATTCCATATATTTACCTCCACAACTGCCTGCTGTGAGGAGGCAGATGAGGCCTGTTGTGCTAAACTCAAAGGAGGCTGGGGCACCTGAGCCTGTCCACCCAGGCTGCCCATGGAAACTAAAACATTCTGTTCCCCATAGGGCTGCACAACAGGAGCAAGGTACCCTGACTGGGCCATTGCATCTGTGGGCAAGGGAGGGGACAGCACAGCAGAAGGAATACTGGCAGAGGCCACAGCCGAGGAAGGTGCGACGCTCGAGTCCCCTGGGTATTGCGGTGTCAGCCGGGATGGGAAGCCCTGTAACAGAAACGAGGGAACCAAGTCAGTGAATGGCAGAGCTAATTAGGAAGCAAGACAGTAATAAAAAAAAAATATCTGATCCAGGGACATGTTCCAACCTTCTGTACTTGTTCAAGCACTCCCAAAATCTTCCCAAAGAAGTGGAGCAAACTGCTCAGGCAGCCAGCATGTCAGTCACCACGCCCAAACAAGCAAATTCCCACTCACAGTTCCAAATCTTAGGCAAAACAATCCTCATCTCCCAACTCTCGCAGCTGCCTATATAGCTTAAGATTTTAAAGCCTGAGATTAGAAATGAGCTTGAAGAATTTTCAGGCTGAACAACTACAGCTCTGATGTTATACAACTGCTGCTGATTCTTGAGATTAAATAGCAAAAACACTCTTGTGTTTTTCCTGTCATCTCGTAATGAGCTGACCCAGAAACCAGGAACACTTCAATCATTATTCAGGTTGCCACTTTTACAGTGAGTGACCACATAAAGTCGCTGAAGCAGTCTGTGCCCACCAGTCCAGCAGTTCACAACCAGCACCAGGTACTTACGTCACATCCAAGATCCATGCCGCCTGACTGATTTATATGAATTCCCTGTCCCACCCCTTCCCAGACTTGGAATATCAATACTGACATTGTTGAATATGCTGCCATTGATATTCTTTCCAACACACATCTCTGTTTTTAAAGTTACAATTTCTTATTTTCTTTTTCCCCAAGCTGACAGATCTCATTAATATGTAGCTGTCCCGTCTCACACCGTGGTTGAACAAAGCCCTGCACTATGATTCTGTCATTTTGGACAAATTCCAATGCCAAATATAAAAAATTCAAAACCCATGTCTGTCCAAGGACTTTTTTTCTTCTCTCCCCCTTAAAATGGTTTTTAACCACACAACAGAGTTTAGTCTAGTGGCTTAATGGCTCTCATGTGAGAAGTGAGCTGGCCAGGGCACACAGCTCAGATCTGGTACCTTAGAGGAACGGGCAAAAATGTGGAGAAGAGGTCTGCTGGCTTGCAACAATACCTGGTAAAGAGCATCTCCAGCAGGAAGTGAAGCTTCAGCAGCTTGTCCAATGCTGACTGGCAATCCCACGGCCTGGACAGGCGGCTGCAGGAGCTGCGGGAGAACCTGGCTGGGCAGCTGAGCCAAAGGCTGCATCAGTGTGGGAAGCTGGCTAGGGACAACGCTTGGTCCTACAGGAACAGCAGCTGCCGCGGCAGACGTGGCCAGTGTGAGCAGTGGCTGATTCATGCCAGCTGCCATTGAAATGGGCAGCGACTGGAAACCTGGCTGAGCCACTGTCACGTGAGGAGCTGCTACAGGCAACTGAGACACTGGGAACTGGGGAACCACGGAAGTTGGCAAGGCCTGTCCCATGGGTAGAAAATGAGAGCCAATGGGGACTGATGGGGCAACTGAAGGCTGAGGGAGAGAAGATGCTGCAACAGGTAATTGAGGCTCGCCTTGGATGATCGACACTGGTTGGGAAACAGGAAGCTGGGGAGGTAAAGAAAATAGAGATAGATTTTTTTTTTTTTTAAGCAGGGTTGCGGTAAGCAGAGTTTTACACATTAGTCAAAGAAAGCATTATTCAAGTTACAGCACTCTGTTAAAGTGGCTGGGGAGCACAGTTGGCAGAGCGGCTGGGAGGCTGGCTGGAGTTCCAAACAGTCCTCGCTTTGCAACACTTCCCTTGAAGAGCTCAACAGGCTCTTGAAACAGACACCCACAGAGGGTGAAAGAGCAACATTTGAATACCCTGAAGCACTGATTTGTGCATAAACAGAATCAAATTCTCCTCAACTCTGTCCCCAGACCCAAGCCTGACTTCTTACAGCGAAGAAGTGCAAATCCTACAACAAATCTGTCAGCTTTGAGTATGGGGACTAAAGCAAAGGAGAATCAAAATCCACTGCGCCAGCATTTGGAGAATGGCAGGGAATATGTCAATTAAAGCCAGCAAACAATGCAACTGGAAAGGCAGTTTAGATGAACAAGCAACAAAACAATAATTTTAAAAACAAAATTGCGGCTCACACATTCAACAGAGATATGAGCCAAAATTAAGCAATATTCAGTAACAGAAGCTTCTTGATCAGGTAGTAAAGGAGAAGAGCTGAGTAAGAAAGATGACAGAATGAAGAAAGGAGTTCTATAGCTCACTACCTAAATAAGTGAGTATGTTTTAGACATGTAATGGTGCAGAAGATAGACAGTGGATGGGAAACAGAGAAATGACAAGTTCCTGAAAATCCGTTCACAATACACCATTCATCAATACGCTTCCTGATATTTTTGACAATTTAAAGATCTTTGTGCATGGAAGTGCTCTCCTTCCCTCAAAATACTCATGACTGCCATGTGTAAAAGAGTTTCCCACACATTTTCAACAAAATTGACAGTTATAGTACAATAAGAATACTCTTGTTTGGATGAATGTTTTGAAACCATTAGGAAAGATGACAAAAGTGAAAGCAGCAGTATATTGAATCTACCAGCTATGAAGAAGGAAAAAAAAAATCTTCTGCTAGAAAGAATTTTGTTTACCTGTGTCCCAGCTGCTGCCTGAGGCATTGGCATGATCTGTGAAGTTTGAGTTTGAGAGACAGTTTGTGCAGGAGTGGTGCTGGCAGAAACTGAGGGCTGCTGCAGCTGGTATTGTCCAGGCTGTTGGGAAGAGGCCGGCTGCTGTGCACTCTGTAGCAGGAAAAAGAGGAAGAAGCTGTATTACCTCCCAACACAGGGTTTTTTTTAAAGCATATCCTACTTAAATTCTGCTTTTTACTCTCTCCTAAGTGATATCAGTAGTTCTTCAGAATAGGCCATTTTAACAATTACTTATTAGCATTACTAATACAATTCTATTATTGACACCAAATCTTGCAAGGGAACTCTTTCACCTGAGAAACCAAGAATGAAGATTCTATAAAGGAAGACAAGGCAGTTAAGAGAAGAGAATATTGCAGATCGGATTTCCAGTTAGAAGAAATCATGAGAACAAAGTTTGCCTGTCTAGACAGTCTAATCTGGAAAAACAAGCATTAACATGATTTTTAAAATAAATCTCAGAAAGTCAATGTGTATCTCACAGCATGTTAGACTGGGTGAGAACCAAAGGATTCCTTTGCTGCCAAACTATGGGTCAAATAGTGACAGAGGTAGACAATTGCTCTTAAAAGAGTCATCAAAATTCTATACTATGAGTATTTTACTCGTGTTTAGGAAGTGTGATCCTACCTGCTGAGTGTGTTGAGCAGGCTGGGATGGCACCGCAGCACTGCTTGAGGCTGGCTGGCCTTGCACCTGTGTCTGGAGGGTAAAAAAAAAAGGAGAATCAGCTGAGAAAAACTCCATGGTTTCTGCTGCAGGCAGTTAAAATTATTTCTGCCTGTAATTAACTAGCTGGAATAGGTTTCTAGCTTGTCCATTTGGACAAGCAGACCTTCTGGCCAAATTCCATTACAACAACCAGAACAAAGCAGAGCAATCTGGAGGAGTTCTGAACATCATTTTAAGTCTTCCAAAATAACTAATACAGAAGGACTCTGCAACCCACATGCCCCTCAACATGAGACAGATCAGCCTACCAGCTTCTTCTTCCACTGGTGATGCTTTAAGAGCAGGATGCCTTGGTATGGGGTAACTGGAAATAGATGCATTAAGTTTTACCTTTCCATGTGTTCCAAACACAGACAGGTGGGGCAATAAAAGGAGGCTACATGGAAATAAAACTATCCATAAAAAATCCAAGCAAGAAGATATACAGAATTCTAGACCAATTACAAAGTACCCAGTATACACAAAGGTCATGAGTTTCCTTTGAGAGGCATGTCAAAACACAGGCTAATAATCATTTCCAGAGTCACTACCATTCAAAGGCTACCAAGAATTGGATATGAAGGAATATGAAGGTTAACACTCTAGCTAAGACAGAATTTTTGAGCAAGCAACGAAAAAAATGGATGAGTGGCATACAAATGAATGTGGAAGATGCAAAGGAAAATGGACTGGACTTTCATTACTATTTTTGTGGCTGAAATTTTTTTATCAGATCCCAGGATCTGCATTATTGTTTTGATGACAACTGCAGTTCTTTACCAGCTCCTGGGAGAGAACTAGACAAAGACCTCCAGATGAGTTGCCTGAGCATGCACCACTTGGGTGAACTGCCTTTGTAAGAAGCACATCTGGTGCATATGTATCATATCAGAAATATCTATGAAAATTCCTTAAAGCTGTGATCATTCAGCTTGCAGAAGCTCATTAGGAACATGTCTGTTAAAATTCCATACTTTTCTAATTATGGAAACTTTGGGGAAAGTAGACTACCAATGAAGAGAACCATTTTTTTCTTTGCTGTTTTAGAAGCTTCAGACTGGGATCTACACATGGGCTACACCCCACTGCTGTAATATGTGTACACATTGACTCAGTTTGGGTTTCAAATTCTAATCTTCTAATGAATTAGGTAAAAGACCCCAGAACTTATATTCTGCAAAAGAAGTGACCTCTTTTTTTTGTTTTCCAAATGTATTTTATATCCATCAGAATTTAACCCCTGAGTTTAACAAAGGTTTATGGAGAAAAAAGTTTTCAAAGTTCTTGAGTAGGAGATTCATTCTACAAATTCTACAGCACAGCAATTGCTACCTATTGGACTAGTGATGAAAGCTGCTCCAGCATTATTAAAACACCTTTAATACTCCTTACAGAAAGCCTTAAATACTTAGTTCTTGAACTAAACACACAGAGCAAAATGATTCTGCTTCACACAAATCCCGAAGTTGCTAACACCCCAGTAACTAAAATGTCAAAGCCCCTAATTCCAAGGACAAAAGAGGTAAGAGAGAAGACTATTTAAAGCAAATCCTCTCTTTTCACAGGAAGTTATGAGACTTCAGACTAGGAGTGCAGACACAATGTATATAGACACACCTCACAGTGTACAGAAAAGTGACCATTGCAAATGCAGATACCACATATGCTGATAAAACACACATATCCAAACTAAGCCTCAAATTTTGCTATTTAAAAGGACACCAGATAAGGCTTATAAAGTGGCAATACCAACTAGCAACAGTTGTTTGTGCCATTAATTAACTACTCAGCCTGTTTAGCTTCTTCAAATACTTGAACAAATACATTTCCAAATCCATGTACACATACATAACACAGCTCCTTCCATTCCTCTCTTCCCACTTTCTTTCCCCAAGTCTAGAAAAAGCTCTTGCATTTTGGACAGTCACCAAAATCACCTTGTTGTCTAATTAAACATTATTTGTATGAAAGTTCAACCTCAAGCAACACATTCAAACAGCACCAACAGAAGCACCAACAGAAGCAAGTTGTACCACCACTGCTGATTCTGCGTGAAGATACATTTCATTAAAACCACTGTTTAAAAGCCAATTTGGTACTCCAGCAATCTCTCACCAAAAGAACAGCTAGTCCCAGGAGGAACACTGACCATTTTTTACTTTAACACAAAAGCCCTACCAATATTTCAGCCAAATCTGAACACAGACCAGATGGTTGCTAATTCCTCATTATTTCATAGCAACCTGGTTAAGTTAAAGAGATCCTAGTATAGACTTGGTGGAAAGACACCCCCATGAATGCTAATTCTTAGAACCACACGGAGCAGGTCTAAAAGCAAGGTTTCCCTTTCACTATGACTTATAAAAAGCGGTGGAATTGTGGAAGGGTTTTCTCCTGTAACCTGAGGATAGGATGCAGGTGGTCCTGATGAAAACGAGGTGGACAAGGCCTGCTGAGTTGAGGTTCCCTGGGGGAAGCAGATGAAGAGCTGCGACTCCTGCAACACCTTCTGAGGCAGCTGAACAATGGGCAATGAGAAGTCTGAACCAAAAGCAGAAGATGATCCCCCTGTAGGGGGAGGAGACTGGAAATCACCAGTGTCAGAGGAAGTCAGCTGTGAGGAATCACTGGAGTATTCTGGGCTTCCTTCTGGCCAGCTGCGCCTGGCAGGGCCCCCTCTGGGACCCGCTACCCCAGCACCAAGATAGTTACACTGCTCTTCTGTCACGGGCTGAAGCCGACCGTGCGACCCTATGCCTTGGGTGCACTCCTCATGGCTGGTCTCCATAGAGCCCCGGCGACTCCTGTAGGCCCGCGGGGGTAAAGCTGCCCCTTCTGCCGCAGCAGAGCTCTGTGTGTGCACATGGAACTCAAAGACACAGCTCGCTCTGCCATCAGCGCTGTGAGAGAGCACAGCCGGGGCCGAGTGTGGAACAAATACCTGGTGGAACGTCATCTGAGCTGGCTCTGCACTCAGGGGAGCTGAAACACTGGATAATGGAGAAAGGGGACCCATCCCAGAATCCAGCCTCAGGCTCTGAACATGTCTTGCCAAATATGTTTGCCCCGATTGAAAGTCGAACACAGAGCTTTGTGGAGGACCACCTTGCCCATGGTTTGACTCAGAGACCTGCTTCAAATGCTGTTCAGTCACGTGAGAGTTATAAGCTACTTGATCATACTGCTCCGATACCTGTGATGGATAGTGCATGCCCACCAAATATACAGCTTCTGGATGCATCCTGTAGTGAGCATCCTCTGGAGGTGTTGGTCCAGATCTATAGTCACTGTGGACAGGAGCTTGCTCAAACACGGGATTAACTTGCACATGCAGAGGCTCTCCAGCGACTCTCTGAGCTGCTGCGCCCAGCATAACAAATGCCTCTGGAGTCCAATTGGTGGGACTACCACCAGGTGGAACTAAACTCTGGCCAGTCTTCAGCAATGGCTGGAAGTGGCAAGTTTGGGCTTCCAAAAATGAAGTGCTCTTGCGCCGCTGAGCAATTGCCACCTTCGGCGGGCAGACAGGTGGTGGTGAGAAAGACACCGGCCGTTCATGAACGGTTGGGAAAAATATCTGTGAATCTGGGAACGGTGGTGTTCCCCCACGAGGATGCTGAGGCTGTATTGACATGAACAAGACAGGTAATTCATACATTAAAAGTGAAAGCACATCAACATGCACAGTTCACTAGGCAGTTCTGTGAAGTAACTTTATAGAATTTATACTCAATTCATGGTCAAAAACATACAGTACTTAGGAAATTTAGGTGAGTTGTAAATATCCATTAAATACATCCATGGCAGGCATAGCTACAATTGGGAACATTTGCTGGTGTTAGAGCTGCTTTTCCAGTTCAATTCCAATAGTTAACGAAAAGAAACCAATTTTGCTCCTGACAATGGAATGAGAGTTATTGTCATGGCCTATCCATTGTGATCAGTGCTTGAAATCCAATAAAACCCCTGAGGTCACTGCCATATGTGGAATATGAAATTCAGAACTTGAAAACAGCAACAAAGCAGAGCCTCTAATCTGCACTCAGAAGATGACATTAGATGTTAGTATTTTCCAATACAAAAACCACAGTACTAGTGTCCTGTATGCTATCCAAAAAGCTAAAAGGAAATGTTTTGTAAGACAAAATATCATTAAAGTTTATTAAATTAATAATAACTTGATTGAATTAATAATAATTTATAATTTTAAAATATAATTTAATATCATATTTTTAAGACAAAAACATCATTTAATCACTTATGATCATACCTTTTCATATAAAAAATTAGTATTCATTGAAGCAAACTTAACTCTTGCCTGGACAGTAAAACATTCATAGGTTTAGTAATAGCACAGTCCTCAGGCAATTCCATGCCTTCTGAGTACTACTTCAGAGGAGGCTCATTTTATTTAAGAGTTGAAGGGTATTTTTCACTAAAGAGAGTTCTATGTAAGAACATCAAACAATTTAGTAATTTTGCATCTTTTCATCTCTGCCTGCAGTATGCCCAGAGACAATGTATTATCTTCCCTAATAGAAAAAAAAAATTGCAGGAGCCAGTAGTAAGTATACTGTTCAAGACAAATGGCATTTTTGAGTTTTTCAAGTTGCTGTTTCCCCATTGTTTACTCTCTCCCCAGCCTCTTTTGTCCAGAAAAGCAGCAGCAAATTTCCCTACTGACCAACACTAATGAGAAGGTCCTACAGATGAAATACCTTTCCTAGGTTCTAAACCTGGTTCCAATAACTTCATTTACACAAAAATGTTTCTCAAAATTTATCTTGTGTAAACTGAAGCTCAAAATGGAAAAGAATCTACCTTCTTTATTGCACATTATCTTTGCATCTGACTTTCTGATTTCTAAGAAATATGAAACTACTGCTCCTTCTCATTAAGAAGTTGAAGTGGCATTTCTGATAAGAATTCACAAAAAATACCTCAAAAGTATTCATACTCTAAATATCTAATATTACTATCACAGCTAGTCAAAGCTTTAAGAATAAGCAGCCACAGCAATCAGGCTTTAAAAGCTTGTTGTTTTGTGAAGGGCTTAATTAACATTCAGTGTTTACTAAGAAGTTGAAAAATAAGAGTCTTCTGACTTTGGGTATTAAGACCTAGTCTTCCCTTTACCTTCTGTGGTACAACTGGGTAATTTACATTTATACTGTCCTAAAAGACAAGATACAAGCAGTCAGCCACTGTTTGATAATGTTTACCAGTACTGCTTCATAGAAATAAATAAAATTAACAAAATCAACATTCCAGCAGCACAGTATAAGGAATTGACTTTTCAATTTCTCCCTTTAAAAATGCCCAGAGGCCAGGATGTATTTAATGATAACTTATCTTACTGTGCCAGGAGGCAAATGGTAACACATACAGGACTGACAGAGAGGGAGGGCAGGCTGGAGCGTCGATGCTTGCGTGGAGAGGCAGAGTGCATGGGCAGGACACTTTCCAGGGCTTTAGAAAGCTTTTCTGCAAAGGTTTCTTCAGGGACAGTCCGAAGGTAGAAAGGAGAAAGAGGTGCAGACAGCGCTGGTGGTGGGGTGCAAGGAGCACTGAGAGGGATGCAGGACATACAGGGAAGAGCAGGAAGGTGGGGGACACAAACTGACATGCTACGACCACGTTGAGGCTAAAGGAGGAAAACAAAAGTTAAGAATTGAACACTTAAAAAAAAAAAAAAAGTAATAACAAAACGTGCAAAAACTATAATGAGGTAGAAAAGAAATGAAGACACACAATGGAAGGCCCAATATTGACTAATATGTGGTACCACAAGATATGAGAATGCTGAATGAATGCCAAGACACACTGGGAACAGGCTTTGTGCACCTCTGAGGAGCTGAATTTGCCTTAGATTACTGAGCAGTGTAGAAAGCTCCCCAGAACCCTCCTGAGAAACACATGGAAGGCACATCAGACAGAGACTGTTTTCTCTCAGGCCACAGACACAGCCCATAGTGTGTGTACTCAAAGCACCTGGTAGTCTGACAAATAAAAACTTAAGATACTAATGAGCTTTCAAGCATTGATTAGTTTTTAGAGTAAATGTGTGTTTACAGGTGTCACCCAGTTCTTCTACTGGAGCAGTCCCTCTGCCCGAATTATGAACTAAATGTATGCTGCTGGCTCTCTATTAACTGAAACATCACCATAAAAATTTAAACCTTACACCTTCTACAACATGAGATGTGGAAAAAACTCAGTTTAATCTGTGGAAAATTCTGTAAAAAAGCACCTTCCAGATGCTGGGCCAATAAAAACATCTGGATTTTGTAATTTTGCCACGATCCAGAAGGCCACAGGTCAAAAACCAATCAAATCAGAAGAAAGAGAATAAGGTTTTGAGGTGGGATTTGCATTTTTTGGATCAGGGGCTTCCGTTATTGGTTTGTGGTTTGGTGGGTTTTTTTTGTTGGTTTTTTTTTGGTTTTTTTTTGGGGGGGGGGGGGAATGTTGTGTTTTGCTGTGGGTTTTTTAAGTGAATGGAAATATGACATTTTTAAAGAGGCAGTATATGCTTCTTATGGAGGTAATCCACATTATCTTAAAACAAAAAAAAAAAAAGAAATAAAGACCTCCAGAGAGAAAACAGCAAGATATTCAGTGGAGATCAGACTTTCAAGATTTCTGTTGTGAGAAATCTTGTGAAATTGCTTAAAAATTTGGGAGAGAGGTAGAAAAGAACTCAAATTGTTCACTAAATACATCATCATCTATTCCAAGGCAGGAGTAGTTATACATCCTTCCTGACTCTAATTTATCTGAATAGTTCAGAAACATCTGCACTGACAGAAACTACAATACTTATCTATCTTTACTGAGTATTAAATAACCCCTTCCCAAACAATAATTCCATGCTGCAATTTAGGCTTATCATTCCTTATTCTGTCTAACAACAATGTTGTGATCTGATCAGCCTCTCCTTATTTCATAGCAGCCTTTCACAGCTTTCTCTCTCCTCAAGCTTATCTTGTATAGACTCAATTATTTCAGTCTTCCCACATAAACCACATTTTTTTTGTATTTCTCCTGGGTTTTTTTTAACACTCTTTGAATTTTCTCCCAAGCCACCCTCCAGTTCACTCAACCAAGGTGTCCAGGATAGACTTACCAATAGCCAAGAGCAGAACTACTATTTCATATAATGGGATGTTTGCCTTTTTCATGACAGCATGATGTTTTTGACCATGTCCAGCTTGTGCTCCAATGTAATCCCTGACTTTTTTAAAATTTATTTTGCAAAATGGCTGCCTAGCCAGTGGTTACTCATTATGTACTTGTGTAGCTGACTATTCCAGTTTAAGCACCAACCTTGTTCTTGTCCTGATCAAATTGAATTCTGTGATTCTTTTTAAGGCCATTTCTTCTATTGCCAATATAATTTCGACCTGTCAGTCCCTTCCCAACAAAGGGTTAGCAGTCCCTGTAGTCTGCCAGCCTCCTGGTACCACTGTTGTCATCACACAGCATTGAGCACATTTTTGCAGCAAACTATGCAGCTTAGCTGTTCCTTTATCATGTGCTTGTTCTCCCTCCTCCTCCCAAAAGATTTTGGTCTTTCAACCTGGAAGCCAGCCATCCCAAGAGAGTGACATGGCTTCTGGCCCAGTATGTGCCCACACTCCAAAATATGGCTTACCCAGAAGAGCAACTTATTTAGAGGGATTAAGAACTCATCATCAAGGACTAACAGTACCACACACCTCAGGTTAAGTGTCTTTGAAAAAGATGGAGATGACTTGATTGTGGGTGATAGCAGCCTGTTTGTCAAAATCCTAGTTACGCCAGTGATCCTGTAATAAAGCCTACAACCACAGGTACCAGAAGAAGTGAGGACCCTCAATCTTAAGTGTCACATCTTCTTTATGGTGTTACTACATTATACCATAATGTCTGCCTCAATCTTGGATTTTTATTTGTGTAAAAAACAAGCGACAAGGGAACCACTGAAGACAATATACAAGTAGCAGAAGTTCTACTCCAGAATTAGAATAGATTTCTGCATACTCTCTTATTCAGATCTAAAAAACATACCAAGGAAAAAACATACCAAAATAAAAGGGCAACACAAATGAACATAGTAGGAAAAGTATTTGTGCCCAGTGCAGACTTTCCAGGGAAAAGGAATACACACGATGAGCAAATCAACACAAGCTAGAAATAAAACCAGGAACAAGGATGTGGGGTCTTTTCAGTCTGGAGCTCTCACATGCAACATTCTGTAACAGTTAAAAAGTCTTACCTGCAATATCTGTAATCAAAGTCTCACAGAACACACACAGCAATTTCATACAGTGGCTTCAATTACTCTAATCCCCCTAGTAACTTCATATACACATACACACAGCACCTTCCCAAGCAAAATTAAATGCTTATTATCAAGAGGTAGTCTTGTTCTGAGGAGGTTACTTCCACTCACAAAAATGGCTAACCCATTATTCTGCTGAACTGCAGCCAAGATTAAATAAAAGCTTTAAAGGCAAAGACGCTCTTGCACTTTCCCCTCCTCCCCTAAAATCAGTCATCTTGCAGAAAAAAAAAAAAGCCCCTGAACTCCTCCCATGCAGAATCACTATCCTATGCAAAACAAAACACACGTGGAAGACGGCCTGGCAGATTTCCTCTCACCTTTCAACAGACACACAAAACCAAGTAATTCCATGCACTTGCAGTGCTGTAAGGTCTGGCTTACCGCTGCAGGTGGCTGATAACCTCCATGCTGCTGGGACTGCACTTGGCCAACTGAAGCTGGGTATCCCTGGACTCCAGTGTTTGAGACTGACTGGTCATGCTGGGAACCATAGGACACAGCCTGCTGACTGCTCACAGATTCAGTGTACACAGATGACCCCTGGCCACTGTCAACTGTTCCATCAGCTGCAAAAGTTTAGGATAAAAATCAGCATTTCAAGAACTGTGGTCTGGATTAAAAATTTCAAAGATCCTATAACTGATCAAACATTAAATTGATTTTTCTGCCATTGTGGACCTTTATTATCATTTTACGTCTTGTAATGTTTAAGCTGATTTTAAGATCCTTTTTTCCTCCATTATGCCTTCCCCTAAAACCCTGAAAAAATTACTCATTTCAGGAGTTCTTTGGGAACATATTTAAGAATAAACTGTATTTCTTACAAAAGGCTGGACTAGAAATAGAAACCTAAATTCCACATTGTTATGAATGCTCTTTCAAGATTTATTAATCATTATTTTTATTTAACTTTATACAGACATTTAAAACACTTGTGTTGTGCTGGCTGGCAGATGCACCATATAGGCACAATAGTGAACTAGGCACAATAGCCAATTTAAAATCCTGGTTATCTAATGAGCAGACAGTAATTTGCTTTTTAACTTCATCATTCTAATATAGAAACTGACACCTTCCATCATAATTCAAATACTGATTCAAATGCTGGGATGGCAAAAGAAGAAAAGATAGGATTATAAATTCATCTTTTCATGTATAGTATGTAAAACAGAAAATTAAGACTTTTCAGAAAGGAAATTATGAGCTGAACTACTTGTAGATTAATCTCATTTCCACTTTAAAAGTAAGTTAACAAGGATTCAAATAAGTGGTTTTAATAGCCTGATCTGCCAGAATACACTGTCGCTGTAGGAGGGCAGCAAAACCAAAGGCATATGTTCATGCTTTAGGTGCCCCAGTTCATTCAGTATATTGCCTTGAAACAAAGAGAAACCATTTTGTGCTAAGACACTGGGCCAAGCCTTGGCTCAGATAAGCCACAGGAATGCATCTTAAGTTGCTGTGCTTTCTAGCGGCCTAGTGTTCTTCAGCAGCAGCAATGGCAGACAGCATCATCTGAGGGCATTTACTGCTACACCCACCAAAAACACAAAACTAACTGGAGGAACTGTGCAAGTGCAGGAGTTGCTAAAGAAACTAACTGAGGCACTTACAAAGAACAGATATACTGGGTTGCTGGAACTGCAGCTGTTGGTGTTGATCAGCTTCTGGCTCTTCAGGCTCCACTTGTGTAGAAACCGACGCTGAAGCAGTAGGGACAGGAGTAGTACCAGTGACAGACTGGGGATGTTTTGACCCTGCATGGGAAGTACTTGATGGCTGCTGCTGCTCCAGCTGCTGCTTCTGACTACCTTCTTCCTGAAGTATGTTCTCCTGCTCTTCTTGCACCGACTGGCGCTGCTCTCGCTTGCGCTTAATCAAAGATACCCTGTCCTTGATAGCCTTCGCCATTGTCTTGTGATCCCCTTCACAGACATAGCCAGACTCCACCTGAAGGAGGATACATTCACGGAATTCACACTGCCACAGACAGCCCCTGTCCCAGTGCTGCAACAAAGCTCTTTCTGGCACCACTCATCTACACACTTGTGAACCCGTTTATTTCTAGACACTAACAGCAAAAGCAGAGGCTGACAGACCACATTCCACTATCACAGAACAGCACTGCTTCCAGAGCTTTGTCAGACCACCAGCACTTACCATTTCCTGTGCCACATCCTCTGGGACATCTCTTTCCAAATCAAATGAAAACTCTATTGCCTCATTATCTTTGTATTTGCCCTTGAGTTTTTTGATGTCTTCAATTCTGAGCCAGAGTTTAATGGCAATTTTTTCTCCATCATCTTCCTCTGCAAGTTCTACCCGTACTCCAGTCTCTTCTTGGAAGAAAGCATGATTCAAAAGGTCCTTAATAGCATATCTAGATATTGGGAAAGAATGTAGAAAGCACATTCAGCTGTCAGGATTTCATAAAATATTAAGGAATAACCTTAAGGAATAAGCCAGATGCTCCCCTGATTTATTCTCTAAATATGCTGTTCTGAACCACCTTATGTGCATTCTGTTGGGTGTAATTAGAAGCTTTGTCCTGAAGGTACAAAAGAGATTTACAAACACATCATTAACAATCATAGTTAACAGCTTAAACTAAATGGCAAAAAATAAGTGATGTGCAACAACATTAACTTCAAATGAGAAAAGAATACTAAATTGTTTAAAAACAAGAAAAAGAACTGAAACTAAAAATACACAGCAACACCATCAGATGTAAAACTTCAAGAGTTAATAAAATGGGATGAATAAACATCCACGAACAAACCAGCTCTGAACAGAAGGCAGCTAAAGGGTGAACAAAAGCTGGAACAGTCTGAAATCGACATTCAGTAAGCAACAACCATGTAAAAGCAGAAAACAAAACAAATCCCACAAATAAGCCATCAGCACAGTTACAGATTTCCTGTAATGGTATAAGTTAACCACCTGAAGTAGAAGTCATCTTGCAGAAAATATGGACAAAAATGAGCAGCAGGAATTTAAAACTTGGAGTTCCCAAAATGATCAGTCATACCAACAGAATCAAAGGGACAAAAAAGTCCAAAGGATTACAGAACCACCAACCAATACAAATACCGGGAAACCCAGAAGGACTGTCCTCGAGGCCCTACTCTGCTGATTAGGTCAGAGTTTTAATAACAGCAATAGAATTTCTGAATAAACTGACATGGATGGTTACTACGGCATTTGCACTTTTCCTGACACTGTTAATCCTCTTAAACAATCTCTGAATGGGAATCTACCAAAGATCAGAAGCTGCAGAAGTAGTACGGCCTTCCCACTTTCATCAGAAGAACAAAGACACCAGAAACTAACTGGATTTGCTATCATCAAAAGGACATAAAGGCCTCAGACAGCAGCTAGTACCTTCATCTGCAAAGCAAGTACTTACCTTTCACCTTTGTTTTGCCGAATGCATCCCTCAATAATCTCCTTCACTTCAGGGATTGCTACTTTATCAAAGCTGGCTGGCTTGACACCCTGAAACACACAAGTAACAACTGAGAAACTACAAGGGCCATTTAAGTTTTGATTGTGTTGACAAACCACCTATTTTTACTCTCTAGGTAACTGACCTAAATAACTAGTGCAAATTAAGGCAAAGTCTGACCCCAGTACTACTGCTCATTTGTTTGTTAGTGACTTTTGCAAATGTTCCACACACACCCCTTCCCATTTTCCATCTACATTAGCACTTGGATGCTCAAGTTGTGACGGGAGAACATTTTTGTTTCCATGGAAGTTGTGCAGGTTAGAGGGAAGTACACAGACTAGACTGAGAATGGAAGGAAATGGTTCCTATGTATCACTAATGCCAGAAACCACAGGATTAATTTAACAGTCTTCAGAGCATCCTGTTGCTTCCCAAAATGTTTCCAACCTGCCATTATATGAAGTAATTTTTTTACAGGAAAAACCTTAGCCCAGGATAATCTGACTGGATCATTAAATAACTTGTACAATGTTCAAAAAAAAAAACCAAAAACCTTCCAGTATCTTAGCTCTCCCCCAAAGCACCACTGTACCCAAACCACCCTCCTGCATCACTGCTGTTGTGAGTTCAGGGAAATGAGCTTACAACACAGGCTTGTGTACAACAGCCCTTCCACAATGCACAGCAACCCTTTTTCCAATATATGCTAAATTACAGGGGGAAAGGAAAACAAAACCTAAATAAGATTAACCACCCAAAGCAGTAAAACATGCCATGAGATGTGACCATCTGGGAATTCTGAAAAACATTTCAGGCAGAGAGCCAAGCTTCATCACTTAATCACAGCCAAAACTGGTATTTTGGGGCCAATTGTCCACAACAAAATCTGGCACCCAATTTTACTTGATTCAGCCTTTAGTTTCAAACTCTGTATTTAAAACACCAGAATGAAAGAGGATGAAGACATGCTGTTCCAATGTTTGAACAGAGATGGTGTTTTCAAGCTAAACAATCCTGAAATTATACACCTGATACATCTGACCCTGTGTCACTCCTGAATGACAACTAAACAAAGTGAAAACCACATCTCTGAAGTACAGAAATAAATGAAATAGCACTACAAGCACTGTGATTTGTGCCCTAAACAGGAAGTACTTCTCCCAACACCTACAAAATACTGGTGACATCAAGACATGATCCTTCCCCATTGCTCTGTTGTGAGCAGGAAACAAGCCTTGAAACAGAAAAGTTTGAGTCGAAACCCCAGTCTTTGCACCTACTGACCCTGTACTCAGAGTTCTTAAAAGAAAAAGAAAAGCCAACACAAAAACCCCACACTGCAAAAAGGAAACAATTCATTTGATAAAAAACAGTATACTCTTATAACAGGAAGGTTATCGATTTCTTTGGTCTAAAATTTGCCCTTGTGAAACTCTAGCAATTGAAATTCACAGAACTGCAGACTAGAATAAGCACTGAAACATAGCCTGCCAATGAATTAGCTGAATACTTTTAGAAGCTTTGCTGACTATTAAGCCTTAAGAAAAATCAATGTCCCAGGTGATGAAACATCAGACCCAAGTTTGGATGGGTAGGTTTCAGACTCTAACCAGGCCTTATGTAAACCTCCAGCTTCTAAGCAGGACCCAGAGCTCTCCATTCTAAAGGGAAATAGAAAACTCTGCTCATACAGTTGACTTGTCAAAGGTGCCACTTTTCATTATGACCACACTTAAAATGGTCCCAGAAGTTCAGGTTTCTATACGGAGTATAGATATTTCTATATATAATTAAATGCTCTCCTGTATAACATACATAACTATGCAATAATTAGTCAAGTCTTTATTGCATATATTCCCATCTTTGCCCAAGTTTAACACATGTAAGTCTTTTAAATAGCTCAAGCCTCAGACATAGCAGCCTGCACCGACATTCATTTACACTGTGGCAGCAGAAGGATGATGTCAGATCTGTGACAATCTCATCTCAGAAAACTAAAAGCTAACATGAGGAAGACAACTGGTACAGAAAAATATCAGAATAACAAAGCCAGGATTTGATTTTTCTTGTTAATTATTGTACCACATGCTCTGCTCTTGCACAGAGCCTGAAAAGTTAAAGCTAAAGATAGATTTTTAAACGAGAAATTCAGTCTGCTACCCCACGTTTCTCACTGCTGAAAGAAATTAAACACTAGTCCAAAATCTTCAAACACTTCCATGAGGACCATTTTACAATACCCCACTTTATGAATTCCAAATCAAGAGTATAGTTAAAAAGTGAAGGTCCTGCCAGTCTCCTTTAGCACAGCTTCCATGCTCCAACTGCTCCTCAGATAATCTGGGAGAAATCACACTAGGGCCTAAAACCAACACGGGATTCTGTGTTCAAGCAGCTCCCTGTTTCTCACTTTGCTCCACAGTCCATGAGAAGGGCTGCCTAAGCCTCCTCTCCAGCCCTGGACAAGCACTCCCCAGATACTGAAATTCATGAGCTTTTCAAACCCTTTTGTTCCCTCCTGCAAGCACCAATGGAAGTGTCAAACTATTTTATACAACAAGACAGGGGTACTATAAATGATTAAAAACTCAATAAATCAGTGAAATCTTTTCTAACCAGAGCTGCCTACACACCTTAATCTGCCATCACACAGAAACCCAAGGGAGATCAGGCCCTGAAATTCACATAACCTTGATGTGTTCTTAAGACTGCATGAGCTGGGCAGCCAAGCATACCTTCAGCAGTTTCTGAACCCAAAGGCACTCGAGGAAATACAGTGTTCCCTGGTTTTACCACACTTAAAACGGTCACATTCCTATGTGCTGCTCCTGGTCCCCAAACTCCCTAAGAACAACCACAGGACAACTCAAATCGTAATCTACTAGTCCAGTTTCCCAGTGGCAGTTCATTAAGAACTAAACAGCTAAATCCCACTACCATTATTTACAAGTTTGCTAAAGAAACAGCAAGAAGAGCCCTTGCAAAAGGAAAAAAAGAGTAGGTACGTATAACAGGCACACATGAAAAATCAACATTTTCTCAAACTACTGCTCTAAAATTGCACAAGCTGACAGTGCTGCTGAAAGCAACAGTGTCCTTTTCTCCATTTCCCAGTCCCACATCCATGTAATTCCCTTTATTTTGCCAGCAAACACATTAATACAGTTGCATTATGAACCAAATCACAGCATGTATCAGACTTGAAACAAATCCAACCAAAAAAGGCAGCAGCAGCTTCCAGTGAGCTGAAGTTTCCTATGCTGCTGCTTGAGCTCTCAGGCTTACAGAAGGACAGTCAGGGCAGAACTGCTTATTTTGAAAGAAGCACCAATTTAAAATAAAAATCACTGAACACTTAGATTTTGAGAATACCTCTAAAATATGGATGCTTATGTAGGCAGCGACAGATACAAAACTAAAAACTCACAGTTTGCATGTTAAGCGTAAGAAAGATTTCATATTACGCTTATCTTACATATTATAAAGTTTGTGATTTTAACAGATTTTAACCAGGTAAAAAAACATGTTCGAAAATTCAACATATACAGTTATTTGATGAACTAAAAGCAAGTTGGGCATTCTTAAAAACACTCAGTTTCCAGGAAACTTTTAAACCCCAAAGTATAAGCTATGCAGAACTCTTCCACAGTTTTTTGCCCAGAAATACGTAATATTTTGTATTAGTTAGGTCACCAAATGACTGAGTCAGTAGTTTAACATCTTGTTCTAATGCAAGAGATACTGAAAATATAATTTTCTTCATTAGAGAAGGTAGAATCAATGCTGTATAACTTCTACAACAAATCAAAATGAAGGCAGATAAAGTGTTACACACCCTCAGACATTGTCTAAGTTTAATTAAAAATGCTTTGATTTGGAACAAAACCATAGGTGGAAAATAGCAGAATCAATTAATGTTCCTGCCATGATGGTCAGGATTTTAATTTACGTTTTAAAAAACTACAGGGGAAAAAAGTAAAGTCAAGTTTAAAAGCTAAAGAACCAAGCTATGCAAATGTAAGGCAGTTCAAAAGATTTGTAGAGAACTCTTGATTACCTCCAAAATACTTTCCTGTGGCTACACACACTTGACAGAGCTGAAATTCTTACTTACCTCTTTAGAACAATCCTTGTGAGAGCAGCAACAGTGGGAATTAACAATTACAAATATGGGACAGATCTCTCTTTTTGTGAAATCCATCAGGAAAAGAGAGCCACACGCACCACAGAGTTAGCAAGGTGCTATTTTCCGATGGGACTCCACTGGGCTGTGGACTTAACGCACAGCAGAAGGAAAGCAGACATCAAGGTTAAAAGGGAGCATTGTTTTCTCTTTGACATCTCTTGTTATTTTCCAAGTCCAGTACATGAGGCTGCAGAGATTTGAGCTCAATATCTGCTTTTGTCACTCTAATACTAATTAGAAAGAATCAACATAAGCAAGAGGTAAGCGCGTCCCTTTCTGCCTGCCCAGCCAGCTGCGAGAGGAGGAAGAAGTGACAGCAGAGGGATCCTTTACTTCCTGCATGTCCCCACCCACCCACTTGGCTGCTCTGCCTACTCTCCACCCAGGTTTTCTGCATGAGTTTAAGGCTGTGAGTGTGATCATCATGCAGTTCCCTCCTGCTGCTGCAGAAGTACCTCTTTGACCAGGGCAAATAAGTCGGTCAGTGTGTTGTGCAGGGGAACGAAGGCAGCTGCTGTTTCTCCTCTCCCTTCCATGGAGCTACAAGCAGCACACACACAGCTGACTGCCATTCAGTCTAACTAAATACAAGTCAGCACTACAATAGTATAATGCATTTTGCTACCAGCTGCAAAATCATCTAATTTCCTTTTCTTTTTTCCTTAATGTAAGCGCACAGGGATTTGAAGGCGATTTTTAAACTGCTGGACAACATTAGAAAGCTGCATTGTTGCTTGATTTTCACCACATGCTCACAAACAATCCAGAGTTGTATTTTCTAGTATCTCTCACTAGAGTTCAGACCTCAACCTGAAGTTCAATTTTTTTTTTCTTCTGATACCTAACCATGTAAAACCCATT